CAGCTGACTTCGAATCATCACCCCAACCATGGCTGAGGCCCAGCCCGGCATCCCCAGGGTCCCCAGATGGCAGGGCTGGCGGGGGCAGGGAGGGGTAGGGAGACGGGATGGGGGGCAAGGGGGATAGGGAGACGGGGTAAGGGGTCCCAGGATGCTTACGCTTCTCTTCAGATGCATCTGCAGGCAGGAGTTCGGGCCAGCAGGACAGAGGGACCGGGCAGGGGAGAGCAAAGGTCAGACTCAGAGCAACTGGTGGGGGAGGGTTGCAGCCAGGAACTTGGGGTGGAGGCCGTCCAGCATCGCCAGGTCAGTGCAGACAATCCTCCTCCCGCCCAGCCTCCAGCCTCCGTCCTCACCTTTCTGGGGGGTGCAGGTCCCGGCAAGGCCCAGGAAGAGCAGCAGCAGCAGCAGCAGCCACGACCACTGTGGATGGGGCCCCCACCGGCCCATGGCAGAGGACTCGGCTCAGGCTCTGCAGACGGCAGATGGGGCTCACGGCCACCCTGCTGCCCGGCCTCGGCTCACTGCCTACACCCGCCCCGCGGCCATCACTGCCCACGCCGGCCTCCGCCCCAGGGCCTGGCTCTTCCTTTGCGTCTGACTGATCTTAAAGCCAGGGCAGGAGCTGAGCCGTGCTGTGCCTGGGGCTGGCCAGCCTCTGAACTGTGGCCTCACCTGTGTGAGAGACCGTAGCCAACTGAGTCCCAGACCCTCCGTTAGCACAGGAAACTCCATACAAACTGTTGGAGCTGAGCACCATGGCTCACACCTGCAATCCCAGCCACTCAGGAGGCTGAGAGCTGAGGATCCCAATTGGAAGCCAGCCCAAGCAGCTGAAAAGCCAGGAATGGAGCTGTGGCTCAAGGGGTAGAGCACAGCCTTGAGCACAGAAGCTAGTCAGGGACAGCCCCCAGGTCCTGAGTTCCAGCCCCAAGACAGGCACACAGCTGACTACTTTTATCACCTCTGCCCAGCAAGGTGACATGTCCACACAGGTTCCAAGGGCCAAGACAGGCTGGGGCCGGGGCCTAACTGGGGTGTGAAGGGGTCTCTGTCCCCACTGTTCCCATTGTCCCCACCCACACAGCAGCGTGGACTTGCGTCTGCAACTTTATCTGTCTGAGCCTCAGTTTCCCCAAATAGTGACTCGGGAAGAAGCTCATGGAAGTGATTCCATCCAGGGGAGAAGGAGGAGAAGGACAGGGAGGAAGAAGAGGAAGAGGGGATGGAACATAGGTTGGAGGGGGAGGAGGAAGAGGAGGATGGGGAGGACAGGGAGGAGGAGAAGGAGGAGGAGGACAGGGAGGAAGAGGAAGAAGAGGGGACAGAACATAGGAGGGGGAGGAGGAAGAGGACAGGGAGGAAGAGGGGGATGGCGAGGAGGGGGAGGAGGAGGAGAGGAGGGGAGGAGGGGGAGGGAGGAAGAGCCAGGGCTCGCAGTGGTCTTGGGTCCCTCACCTGTCACCCGAGGTTCCTCAGAAGTGCAGCCAGAGGGCCGGCGCCATCCCTCTTGTAGGAGGGTCTCAGTATTTGGCTCAAAGACAGAGCCAGTCACCAGAAAGTTCTGGAAGTCTGCCCGGGGCTTACAGGTGGCAGTGCTGCTGAGAAGCCCAGAGTTCTGTGGGGCATGTGTGTGTGGCACAGGACCAGCCGAGGAGGGGTGCGGATGTGGGCCTATGGGCAGAATGCCTGCCCTGCCAACCCCGCCCAGCCCCAGATCCAGCACTTGGGGTTCATCTTGACCCCCCGGCCCTGCCCATCTGTCTGGCTCCACTCTCTACCCACATCATCCAGTCTCGACCTCTCCATCCTCCCTCCAGTCTCCCCACAGCCTGGGCCTCCCCCGACTCCTCGTCCAGGGCTACCCCAGAGGCTGAGGTCTGAGGATCCCAGTTCAAAGCCAGCCCAGGCCATGCCCGACAAGAACAAAACAAAACACCCGTGACTCCACTTCTGAACACGCTGGGTGTTTTTTTCTCCTCCTTCTTTTTTTTCTTTTTGTCTGTCATGGGGCTTGAACTCTGGGCCTGGGCGCTGTCCCTCAGCTCTTCAGCTCAAGGCGAGCGCTCTACCACTTGAGCCACAGCGCCACTTCCAGTTTTCTGGTGGATATCAAAGTGTCACGGACTTTCCTGCCCAGGCTGGCTTTGAATCTCAATCCTCAGATCTCTGCCTCCTGAGTAGCGAGGATGACAGGCGTGAGCCACCGGGACCCTGCTCTTTTCATTTCTGAGGGATGCAGTATGTCCCGTGGCGTGGGAGAAGTGTAGGTGTCACAGCTCCTGGCAGGCACAGGCAGGTTCAGAGTGAGCAGGGAGCAGGATTAGGAGTGTGTGACTCGGGGTTCTAGCCCTCCCCCCATCGATACTGAGGCACAGCTGTGCCCGTGATTCTCAACATGGCTTTTACAGCCCCCCTCACAGCAAGCTGGAGGCCCTGAGTTCAGTACCAGGGCCCCCACTGCTGTACGATCCACACCGGGTGTCCGGCCATGCGCGAGGATAGGGCAGGGCGGGAGGAAGAGACGCAGTGTGCAGTTTCCAGGCATGCCAGGCAGGGCCACATGCTCCTCTCCTTGAAGATCAAAGCATGGGAGGCACTGCAGGCCCAGGAGACACAGGCCCCGGGCGGCCGTGGGAGAAACGGCTTTACAGACCCCAGTGAACTTTCTGATGAGGGAATGGAGCCTCACCAGCCCTACCGCCCAAGGCTCATTAGAAGTTGGTGGTAACGAACCCCACAGGGGCCCTGAAAGTCTGGGACACCTGAGACCTCGGGGCTGTGGAATTCATTAGGGCACTGAACCAGCCAGGCCCAAGGAGATCGGGCAGGCCTCGGGGAGCCAATTATAAGGGACAGCAGGAGGGCGCGGAGGGCTCCATTAGCAGGGTTCTGTGCTCCCGGGGCTGGGGTCTTGTTGTTTTGTCTGATGACAGCGTGGAAAGTTTCCAGGTCTCTGCAAATGGCTAGGCCGACTTCACTCCTGTCAGCTCTCAGCCCGGGCCCCAGGAGCCTGTGAGTCCCAGTGGAGAGACAACTTTGTGAACTTTTCCCACTGTCTAAGAATTCACCCAAATGGTGAACTTAATTCAAACTCAAGTCTCCAATGCTAGAGGCTTTCAGGAGCGGAGAGCACAGCTCATGGGGGCAAAGTGTATTGCTTAGCAAGCCCAAGGTCCTGAGTTCAAATCCCATTACTGCCCAAATATATGTCAGCATATGAATAATGGAGAGTTGGGTGCCCATAGCTGATACCTGTAATCCTAGCTACTCAGAAGGCTGAGTTGAGGATCAGATTTAAAGTCAGCCCGGGGCAGGAAAGTCTTATCTCCAATAAACTACTCAGGAAGGAGTCAGAAGTAGGGCTGTGGCTCCAGTGGTAGAGCGCTAACCTTGAGCACAAAGAAGCTCAAGGACAGCACCCAAGCCCTTAGTTCAAGCCCCAGGACTGGAAAAAGAAAAAAAAAGATAAGTGCCAGCACTCAAGCCCTAAATTCAAGACCCCTGAGAAAATAATAGGGTCGAATTTAATCAATTACATGAAGGAATGGTGCTGGGAAGGTGTCTCAGTGGTAGAGTGCTTGCCTTGCATGCATGAGGCCCTGGGTTTGATTCCTCAGCACCACATAAACAGAAAAAGCCACAAGTGGCGCTGTGGCTCGGCTCAAGTGGTAGAGCACTAGCCTTGAGCTGAAGAGTTCAGGAACAGAGCCTAGGCCCAGAGTTCAGGCCCCACGACTGACCAAAAAAAAAAAAAAGGAAACCTCTTTGTATGATTAATCTACTCTATTTTTTTTCTTTGAAGGAGACTTCCAAGTAGACTTTATTAATCTGCTTCTAAAGTTTATGTGGAAGCAAAAGTATATACACAGCCACACCACACGAGTGATTGTTTGAAAGCGTTTTATTTGGGCAGAGGTAGGGTAACAGATCACTGCCTTCGTTGCTGGATAGGGTGGCATTTGTCCCTTGGCACACACTAAGCATGGTCTCCGTAGCACAAGAACAAGGACATGGGCTGCAGGCCCAAGGTGAGGCAAGGTGACCTAAGTCAAAGTCAGCGAGGGAGGCTCCCACTGGGGTCTCCTCCTGGGCTGGCCCCAGACCACAGGTGGAGTTCTTGGGCCTGGACAGCTGTCAAAACCCAGCCTTCTGCAACCCAGTGACATCAAAAATGGACTCAGGGCTCAGACAGACTTTTTTTTTGTTGGTGGTCATGGGGCTTGAACTCTGGGTCTGGGCACTGTCCCTCAGCTCTTCAGCTTTAGCACTCTACCACTTGAGTCCACACTGCTACTATTAGTTTTCTGACTACAATCCTCAGAACTCAGCCTCCTGGGTAGCTAGGATGACAAGGCATGAGCCACCAGCGCCCGGCTGTCTGACAGACATTTTCATTCTCCCAGGCCAGGAGGTCTGCGAGAAGATGCTCAGGGTGGCCGATTTCCTGGGGTTGTGGGGGGGAGGGGGGGCGGCGAGGGGAAAGGTGTGTCCCTGACCTCAGGTCACCGGGGCCTCTCATGCCACCTGCTGGGCATTTCTATAATCACTGGCAAAGGGCCTCATTGATTAATGAGTTAATGAACCTTTTCTTTTTTCAAGCCTGGGTGTGGAATTCAAGACCTGGGCACTTGTCCACAAGCTTTTTCTTCTCAGAGCTTGCACTCTACCACCTGAACCGCAGTTCCAACTCCAGCTTTGGTGGTAGCTCATTGGAGCTGGAGAGTATCTGGGCTGGCTTCAAACTGCGATCCTCAGATCCCAGCCTCCTTGAGTAGCTGGGATGGCTGGCGTGAGCCACGGGTGCCCAGCTCCCCACAGAATCTTGCATTCCAGGAACCCAGGCTCACCAGCAGAACGGCGGTGCGAGCCAAGGAACTAAGAGAGGAGAAGATGCAAGCCGGGTGTGGTGGCACCTGCCTGTAGTCCCAGCACTGAGAGGGGGAGTCCTGAGTCCTCGCTCCACCCATGCCAGCCCAGGGCTTGCCCCGGCAGGCTGGTCACTGCGCAGCACCGGGCCCCCGGCTCCCCGCATCCCCCCGGAAGGGGGTCTGAGGTGGGTTGGGGGCCGGGGCGGCCGCCCCCTTCCCGTGACGCCGCTCGTGGCGCCGGCAGGTGCCAAGCTGGCGGAAGCGTAGCGCACAGTGGCGGCAGGCATAGGGCTTCTCTCCGGTGTGGATGCGCATGTGAACGTTGAGGTTGCCACGGTGGCTGAAGGCCGCACCGCAGTCTGCGCAGCGGAAGGGCGTCTCGCGGGTGTGCACACGCTGGTGGCCCAGCAGCGTGGACTCGTGCGTGAAGCGCTTGAGGCAGGTGCGGCACTGGTAGGGCTTCTCGCCGGTGTGGATGCGCAGGTGCACACGCAGGTCCGAGGGCTGCATGAAGCCCTTGCCACACGTGTGGCAGAGGAACGGCCGCTCCCCCGAATGCGTGCGCTGGTGGATCACGAACTGCGACTTGTACTGGAAGCACTTCCCGCACTCCCCACACTGGTGCTGCCGACCTCCATGGGCCTCGGGCCGGCCCCCTGTCCCCCCTGGGCTCGGGGACTCTTCCGGGGACCCCGGTGAGTGGCTGGGCCTCCTCTCGGCTCTCCCGGTCTCAGCCAAATCTCTCTGGTGGCCGGCAGCTGCAGGGGTGCCGGCCTCTTCGTGGGGGCTCCTTGGCTCCCCCTCTGCTGCATCTGCCAGAAGAAGGTGTGGGGCCATGTGTAAACCAAGAGCATTTCAACAGCCGGGTGCCATTGCTCACGCCTATAATCCAAGCCACCAAGGAGGCTTAGATCCGAAGATCACAGTTCAGAGCTAGCCCCATCCAGAAAACTCTTGTCTCTGATGAACCAGCCAAAAGCCGGTAGTGGCACTGTGGCTCAAGAGGTAGAGCACTTGGGAGTCTTGAAAGCTGAGAGCCCCAGCTGAGTTCAGGTCCCAGGTGAGGACAAGAAAAAAAATAAAATGGGGGCTGGAAAGGTGGCTTAGTGGTAGAGTGCTCGCATCGCATGCATGAGGCCCTGGGTTCGATTCCTCATCACATACGCAGAAAAAACCAGAAGTGGTGCTGTGGCTTAAGTGGTAGAGCGCTCGCCTTGAGCTGAAGAGCTGAGGGACAGCGCCCAGGCCCAGAGTTCAAGCCCCAGGACAAAACCAAAAATAAAATACAATGAAGTAAAAGGTGTTGGGATTAGGCCCGAGGAAGAGTGTGCAGGACTGTGCAGGAAGTTGGGGTGATATGCTGAGAAATGGGGATCTGCCTTCCTGGGGAGCAGGGGGCTAGGACTCACCAGGGCCTTGCAGGGACAGAGGCTGAGGGGATGGGCCTGGCGCCCCGGTCCAGTCTCCCCCCGTGTCATCCTCCTCCGCGGCTATGTTCATGGCCTCCGCTTTGTCCACGTTCTCGCTCTGTGGTTGCTGCTGGCCCCCACTGCTCCCCGCCATGACCTCCGCTGGGATGCTGTCCTCCTGCAAAAGCTGATGCTTGGGTTACAATGTGTGTGTGGGGGGGCCCACGAGGTGACTCCCAAACCCAAGCCCTCACTTCACTTCCCAGCCCCTTTCCACCCAGCTCCACCTCCTGGAGGCTAGGACTTGGTCTCCCCACGACTCCCCAGTTCTGACTAGAAGACGAGGTATGGGTGTGTGGGGGTTCACTGACATCCTGGGAGCCAGGCAGGGCAGCACCCCCTGCACCAGCCCGCCTGACACCCGGAACCCCAACTGCCAGCGGGAACAGTGGCTCCTGGAATCACAGTTCAAATCCAGCCTGAGCAGGAAAGTCTGGGAGACTCTTATCTCCAGCCATCCAAAAAAAAAGAAAGAAAGAAAAAAAAGAAAGCCAGCAAGTTCCTCAAGCAGTGAAGTGACAGCCTTGAGCAGAGAAGCCCAGGGACAGAGCCCAGGCCCTGAGTTCAAGTCCCGACACCAGTGCACACACAAAACCAAACCTGCCGTCGCCACCACCCATGGCAAAGCGCTCTCACGGGCTTCTAGGGTGGAGTGAACGAAGCTCCTTTGGGATTTAAGTCCCTCTGTCCTGAGCCTATGCTGGAGGACTCGGCCTCTATGTGGGGTACCTGTGGCCCGGTCCCACCCCAGATCAACCCCCTCCCTCCAGCTTCTGGGCAGCTCACCGGCTCCTGGTTGCAGGGCGGCTGGGGCTTGGCTGTCAGGTCGATGGCACCGTCCTCCTCTGCCTCATCAGCCTCATCCTCCTGGTCCTCCACCTCCGCCTCAGCTCTGCCCTCCTGCAGCTGGGACACAGGCACCAGGCATTGCCGACCCTCCACATCCTCAACCACCTGTGGATCCACGCAAAGCCATCAGCCCCGACGCCTTGGGGAATCCATCCGGAGGCTCTCGGTTGCCCTCCTCCCACCAGGCCTGCGGCTTACCCACTTGGTGGGCTCCCAGCTGTGCCTCAGTAGCTTTTCCAGGTCTCGGCAGCGGCGCACGCCGCTCTCCTTCACCAGCACCTGCAGGTGCTCGGGCACGGAGAGGAGGAACTGTTCGATCACCAGCCGGTCCAGCATCTCCTCCTTGCTGTACAGGTCGGGGCGCAGCCAGAGGTGGCACAGCTCCCACAGCTGCCACAGCACCTGCACAGGGTGGGTGCCCACGGGGGCGCTGAACAGCCGGAACGACAGGTGCCATCTCTCGGTGTCCGGGTCGTGCGGCTCCGGGGAGTCCCACGACGGGGGGCAGGGGCCGTCCTGCCGGGCCTCGCTGGGCCCCGCAGGGCCAGCCACGTCGCCCCACAGAGGGAGCACCATCTGCCCCTCCTCACGCTGCGCCTCGCCAGGCATGCTTGCAGCCCCGAGCTCCTGCTCCAGCCTGCAAAGACCAAGACAACACCGCTCAGGACAGGGCAGAGTGGAGTCAGCACCGAGCTGTTCCCTGGCCTTGCAGGCCGGGCCGGGCCTTGCGCCCCCCCCCCCCCCGCCAGTGAGACCCAGGGCCCCCAGGACGGCTCTTTGGGGGCAGGAGGTACCCACCCCGGACCGGATGCTCAACTCCATCCAAGAGAAAGACAATCCCAGCTACTCAGGAGGCAGAGAGCTGAGGATCCAGGTTCAAAGCCAACCTGGGGCAGACAATCCCAGAGACTCTGTGCCCAATCAACCACTACCACCACCACCACCACCAGCACGCCAGGGGTGGAGCTGTGGCTCATGTGGCACAGCACCAGTCCTGAGCGCAGAAGCTCCAGGACAGTGCCCAGGCCCCAAGTTCAAGCCCCAGCACTGGTAAGCATATGCACACACTCTCTCTCTCTCTCTCTCTCTCTGATCTAGAGAACTGGTAGAAAAGAAAAGGGAGGGGCTGGGAAGGTGGCTCAGTGGTAGAGTGTTTGCCTTGCATGCATGAGACCCTGGATTCGATTCCTCAGCACCACATAAGCAGAAAAGGCCGGAAGTGGTGCTGTGGTTCAAGTGGTAGAGCACTAGCCTCGAGCTGAAGAGCTGAGGGGCAGTGCCCAGGCCCAGAGTTCAAGCCCCACAACCAACCAAAAGAAAAAGGAAAAGGGCGAAGTGAAGGCCGGTTATGTGGGGTGGGTGGGCAAGCCCTTGGGGGGTTGTGTTTGGGGGCAAGGGCACAGTGGGTGGCAGGGAGTGCTGGGCCTGAGAGGGGACGCTGCCCTGCGCCGTGACTCATGACCCCCCCGTCACACAGAAAACATGGAGGGCTGGGGTCACCAGGGCTCCCCGGGCCTGTGAGGGGCAACGCCTGGGGCTAGAGCTCCGGGTGGGGGATGCAGGTGGGGACCCCGAGAGCTAGGGCCCCCTACGAGAGCCAGTCCCCCACAAGAGCCCTCCCTTCCCCCACAAGAGCCAGGCCCAGGCCATGGTCCCATCCATGGATCCCGCCCAAGGCCGTGTGACACAACGCCCTCCTCCTTCTCCTTCTCCTCCTCTTCCTCTTCCTCCTCATCTTCTTCCGGGGCCAGTGATCTGGTAATCCCATCACTGTGGGGCTTGGCAACACTCGCCTGTAATCCCGGCCAGAGAGGTTTAGGAACTGGGAAGCAGAGTGGGGGTGGAGGAATCATAATAATGATGATGATGACGATGATGATGATGATAGTGATGATGGGGATGATAATGACTTACCCCTTGTGCTGACAAGCATGGACGCAGCCAGGTCAATGTGGCAAACCCGACCCCATCCCTCGGCCACTGGACCCGGCGAATCCCCCCCAAACCCTGCGTTGGCTCCGGTCCCCCGAGCACCGGCTTGGAACCTTCTAGAACGGCAGAGGGCGCACAGGGCTCAGTGCAGGTAGAGGGCTCAGTGCAGGCACAGGGCTCGAACTCAGGTCCCGGCCATGTCCCCGGCCCAGCTCCATGGGAACCCCTCCCCCACCCTCCTGGCCAGAGCCCCAACCTGGAGATGGGGACCTACCTGTCAGGACTTCGCCGCTCTGGCCTCGATCCACGGCCCCCACCTGGACCCCAGCCTTGATCCTCAGCCTCCGCCTCAAACACTAGCCTTGACCCTGGGCCTAGACCCTCCGCCTCAATCTACAGCCTCCACCAGGACCCTGGCCCTCCGACCTCCACCTCAGCTCTGCTGCCTGCCCTGCCACACCCTCCTTTAATACCCTCCGCCCAGGCCCACTTCCGGCCCACCCACCCTGCCAGGCCTCAAGCGGCATGGGCCGACCTTCCAGACACAGGGCCCACGTCTGTCTGTCTGCCTATCTGTGTCTGTCTGTCTTGGTCTATCGTCTATCTCCATCTGTCTGTGTCAGTCATAGGGCTTGAACTCGGCCTGGGCGCTGTCCCTGAGCTCTTCAGCTCAAGGCTAGCACTCTAACACTTGAGCCACAGCACCCACAACTTGCAGTTTTCTGAGTGGTTTATTGGAGATGAGAGAGTCTTATGGACTTTCCTGCCCAGGCTGGCTTTGAACTGTGATCCTCAGATCTCAGCCTCCTGAGTAGATAGGATTACAGGCGTGAGCCACTGGCACCTAGCAAGATTAGGCCATTTGTATCTGAGCTTCTTGGCCCTTTGACTGTGTGTGTGTGTGTGTGTGTGTGTGTGTGTGTGTGTGTGTGTGTGTGTGTACATATATGGTGTGCATGTAGGTGTGTGCCAGTCTTGGGGCTTGAACTCAGGGCCTGGGCACTGTCCCTGAGCTTTTTCTCTCAAAGCTGGCTCTACCCCTTGAGCCATAGCACCACTTCCAGCTTTCTTGGTGGTTCACTGCAGGTAAGAATCTCACAGACTTTCCTTCTCAGGCTGGCTTCAAACTGCTATCCTCAGACCTCAGCCTCCTGAGTAGTTGGGACTATAGGCATGAGCCACCAGGGTCTGGCTTCTAGGAATCTCGGGTGCATCTTCCCCCTGAACCACCCCACAAAGCCACGAGTCCGCAAGACCCCTCAGCTTCATGGAGGGAAGCATTCGTGCAGGATGGAGGGAGGCTCGGGCAGAGCCCAGGAAGGAAGCAAGACCCGATCTAAATATCTGTTCTGCCTGGCCCTGAGTTCAAATCCAGCATGGCAAGAATGAGAATTCTCAGCCCCCTCCCCCCCAGGGGGGGAGAGGGGAGGGGGACATGCAGGGTGCCGCAGGGGCGCTGTTTCTCCATCAGGGAGCAAGCATTGAGTCTGGAGGAGGCTAGCATGTAACCTCTGACCTTCACCACAGATGCTGCCATGGGAACCTGACTCTAGTGGTCAAAGGCGGCTGGACGCCTTTGAGAACTAACAAGCCAGACTCTGTCCTCCGTGCAGCTGGCGGAGGTGTGGGGCCCTCGTGAGGATGAGGAGCCACTCGTGCAAATTGGCCAGCCAAGCTCTGGGGCTACACAGGAGGACTAGGGGTGAGGATGTGTGCCCCACACAGAGAAGAAAGGATTTAAAGGTGGGGTGAGCGCTGGCCTTGGGGCCTGGGGTTGAGCCCAGCTGCCGGTGCGTGCTGAAACTTCCTCCAGGCTCCCGGGGGCGAACGCCAGCACCCGTCAATTTCATAGAAAAAGGCACAGAGAAATCTCTCATCTGGCCAAGGGCCCCAGGCTGGGCAGCCAAGTAGCAACAAGGCTTTTCTAACTGGTTCTGTGCCAGTCCTGGGGGCTTGAACTCAAGGTCCGGTTGCTGTCCTTGGGCTTTTTCATTTGAGGTTGATGCTCCACCACCCACTTCTGGCCTTTTGCTAGATCCTTGGAGATGAAGAGTCTCACAGACTTTCCTGCTGGGGCTGGCTTTGAACTGTGATCCTCACATCTCAGCCTCCTGAGCAGCTGGGACCACAGGCATGAGACACCATGCTAGAGAAGGCCTACAGCTGACCTGTTGTCCTTCTGCCAGCTCCTGGCCCTGGGTATGCCCCCCATCTCTCTCTTCCCAGCCCCTCCTCTCCAAGGCCACAGGCTGGGCACTGTGGAGCCTGTCACCAGAGATGGAGAATGTGAGGTCCTTCAAAACCATCTTCAAATCTGGGGGTACCCTACACCCTGCATGAGCCTCAGAGGAGGCTCCATAACCCTATGTGGAGGAGGCCCCAAGAGCAGGGCCACCTGCTTTGCTCCTGGGACTTGAACTCAGGCCTGCTGGCAGCCTGGTGTCCCATGATTTGGGTGGTGCCCTCAGCTCAGTGGCAGTTTGAGGGGTTTTGTTCTGCTGTGGCTGTCCCCCATGCATGGTCCCCTCCACCTCCTACCCAGTAGTCAGGACACAGATGGCACCTAGGGACGTGCCTGCTGCTGGAGACGGCTTCTTGCCTCCACCCTTCCGGTGGCTGGGATGTGAGCCATTGTCTGGCCAGGGCTTTGTAGCTGAGGATGGGGTCACACCTTGATCAGCTAACCCCCCCTTCTCAGAATGGACACTGTATGGGATTCCCAGAGGAAACTTGGGTTGGTGTTCCTCAGAAGAGAAATGCAAAGACAGGCACTGGTGGCTCATACCTATAAACCTACTCAGGAGGCTGAGATCTGTGGTCCAAGTTCAAAGCCAGCCCAGGTAGGAAAGTCTGTGAGATTCTTTTTTTTGGGTCCGGTTGTGGGGCCTGAACTCTGGGCCTGCCCGCTGTCCCTCAGCTCTTCAGCTCAAGGCTAGCACTCTACCACTTGAGCCACAGCGCCACTTCCAGCTTTTTTTTCTTTTTGCTTATGTGGTGTGGAGGACTTAAACCTCATGAATGCAAGGCAAGTGCTCTAACACTGAGCCACCTTCCCAGCCCCAAGTCTGTGAGATTCTTATCTCCAACAAACCACCAGAAAACTGAGGTGGCACTGTGGCTCAGGGAGTAGAGTGCCTGTGTTGAGCTGAAGAGCTGAGGGGCAGTGCCAGGCTCTGGGCTCAAGGCTTACAAATGAGAGAGAGAGAGAGAGAGAAACTCAGCTGAGTGGCCAGGATGGCAGTGTGACCCCAGAATGGCACCTGGGTGACCCGAGTGCAGGCCTGTGATACGGCTGCAGCTGTGACCCCAGGGCCGGTGACTGTGGGGTCACTGAGGAAGCGCAGGGCCACCCAGGCTATTAGAGGGGACTCAAGGTGCTCATCGGGTCCCCTTCATCCTCCAAGGAACCCCGGCCCCACCCACGCCTCTGTGAGTACCCGGTGGGCAGGTGCCTACGACATGGCCTTCTGCACCCATATATATGCATATGCACATTCACACAGGCCTGTACACAAATGCACCGCAGTCCCACGCCCATATGCACACATATGCACACTCCATCATGCCCATATGCATGTATGCCCTCATGTCGTCACACGCCCACGCCCCTATACACGCATGTGTGCCTGCAGGCACATGCCCCTATATATGCATGTACAGGCACACGCCACATACACGCATGCGCAATCACGCTCCCACGTGTGCGCATGCGCACATGCAATCACAACCCATATGTACGCAAGCGCCCATATAGTCTCACGCCCCCTATGCACGCAGGCGCACAGCACACATGCGGTTACACGCCCATACGCACGGGAAGTGCCCATGTAGTCACACGCCCCCTTAGCAGGCAGGCGCACCTCCAGGCACAGCCCGAATGCACGCTTGTGCCCACGTAGTCACATGCTTCCTATGCGCGCATGCGCAATGCACAGATACAGTCACGCCTTTTACAGGACTGAGAACCTACAGGCCCACGCCCATATGCACGCATGCGCAGGCAGCCTGGCGCGCAGTCCTATAGCCTCAGGACTTGCTGTGGTATGGCGCCTGCCTTTGCCGGGAAGGCCTGTCCAGGACCCCAGACGCAGGCCCACACCGCCCTCCCCTCCTGGGGCCAGGCATGGCCTAGCAGAGCTGGCCGGAACCACGGATGCTGCTGCCTCCCGGTGGCTGCGGGTGAGTGCCGGGCGCGGTGCGCGGGCGGGCAGCCTCCGAGCGGGGCTCAGGACAACCAGGACCACGGCCGTGTGCTTGTGGTGGTAGCCACTTTATTACGGTCGGTGCCGGAGAGCCGGGGAGCCTGGGGGCCGGGCCAGGCGCGCGCCGGACTAGCCCAGCGGCCAAGGCGGGAAGGCGCCGCCGCCCTCGGGGCCTGGCGCCACCGCCGCCCCCTGCGCCGCGGCCGCGCGCCCATGGATGCGCTGGTGGCGCAGCACGTGCTCGCGGCGCCCGAAGCCCTTCCCGCACTCCCAGCAGGCAAAGGGCCGCGCGCCAGAGTGCGTCTTGCGGTGCCGCACCAGGTGCTCGCGCCAGTAGAAGGTCTTCCCGCACTCGCAGCAGGCGTGCGGCTTCTCGCGCGCGGGCAGCGGACGCAGCGCGGGCCCCGGCCCGCCGGGGTGCGTGCCGCGGTGGCGCCGCAGGTGCTCCTTCCGCCTGAAGGCCTTGCCGCACTCCGGGCACGCGTGCGGCTTCTCGGCTGAGTGACTCTGCCGGTGGCGCAGCAGGTGCGCGGGCTTCAGGGGCGCCTTCCCACACTCAGGGCATGCCACGCCGCCTGGGGCCAGGAAGGCGGGCAGGCCAGGCGCCAGCGGGGCTGGCGGGGGGCTGCCTGGCTCCTGCTTGTAGGGGCGCACGGCGCGGGTCTCACCGGGACCCGGGGGCTCAGCCACAGGGCCTGCGAGAGAGACAGAGACACGGGGTTACCATGGTCACGGGGTCACGAGGGGGGCGGGCAGGGCCCGTGCATACTGATGCACTGTGTGCGGGGGTGATAATGGGGACGGGGGTGATAATGGGGACGTGTCCGCGCATGCGCATGGGGCAGCAGGTGGCCACGTGGCCATTACCAGGCCTAGGCGGGGAGAATGGTGCGCGAGGGGGGAGGAGGGGTAGCTTGGGGCTGGGGGTCGGCTGAGCTGGACCCGAGCCCTCCTCCTGCCTGACCCGAAGGCCAGGCCCCCAGCCCTCCTCTCCCTCCGCGCGGCCATCTCCCTACGCACTCAGCACCCAAGCCGGCCCGCACTCCCTGGGCCAGAGCCTAGGTCGGGAACCCGAGGCTCCTCTTCAGCTGGCCTGGGAGGCTCCGGATGTGGGGGATCCCGCCTTGTAGAAGACTGACCTCCAGACCCCCAAACAGGGCAGACGGAGGCTGCTGGGCCCGGCCCTGGCCTGGGGGAGCCCCGTGCCGCAGGATCTGCAGCAACAACTTCAGGTTTATGCCACATATTTCCAGGCATGGTAGTGCATGTCTGTGATTCCAGCACCGAGGGCACTCAGGCAGGAGGACCCCAGGTTCGAGGCCAGCCTGAGTTATAGGCAGCGTCCCTATCTCCAAGGACCACATCCGCAAGGGTGGCTGTGGGGGTTTGATCAGCCCAAGGATGGGGCAGGAGGAGGACCAGCTGCTCACCTTGGGTTATCACCCCACTATCCTCCTTCGCAGCACTGGCCCCAGAGCCTTCTGCCAGCTCACGGGGGATCTTCACTGCGGACGGCTGGTCTGGGGAAGTGGCTGGGCCCTGCAGTGAGAAACAGGGTTCAGATGAAGAAACCGCAGCCTTGGGCCCTAGTTCTTCCCCCTCCCACATGGACAGCAAGCAGGGCATGCTGTGCTCAGGAAGCAGGCTGTCTCTTGGGGGGGAGCTCAAGCCACCCTTCAGGGAGGCCACACCCCCAGCCGGTCCTGATGTTCCCAGGGAGCCAGTTGGGAGCCATGGGTGTTGGCTCAGTGCAAGAGGCAGCTTGGCCGGCTCTCTGTCCTTCACACCCTGGCCGCCATCTCACTCTCCTCAGTCAGAGTTGATATTTGGGGCTTTGCAGGTTCTGTCTGAGGCAACCACAGGAGGAAGGCGGTGTCCAGTGCCAACGAGTTTCCCGTCAGGTTGGGTTTGCGTACATATTTCTACCTTGCCTGGCCAGGGTGTTACCAACTCTATCTAGCTGAGCCCCGTAACACCCTGGGCACCACAAGGTGGGCAGGGCGTCCCCCACATCCTCATGGCCCACGGCTCACCCAGAGCTCCTCCAGCAGGGCCACAGCCTCCTCGCCGCTCTGGGGCTGCCGGCTGCACACCCAGGCCTGGGTGTCAGCCGGCAGCGCGCTCAGGAACTGCTCAAGCACCAGCAACTCCAGCATCTGCTCCTTTGTGTGCACCTCGGGGCGCAGCCACTCGCGGCACAGGGCGCGGAGCAGCCCCAGGGCCTCGCGCAGGCCGGGCGCATCGCCCAGGTGGAAGTGGCGGAAGCGGTGCCAGGGCGAGTCTGGCGTCAGGGCCTCGGTGGCAGGGCCCTCCTGCTTCACTGGCTGTGGCACCAGGGCCTCCATGGGGCCTCAGGGTTGTCTGTGGTGCCTGCAGGAGGGAGCAGGGAGGTGAGGCCTAGAGCCAGCGGGGCACAGCTTCAAGTTGCCCACGTCTCAGCTGTGAACCTGGCATGCCACTGGCCCTGGCCATCAAGAAAACTCAAAAAGGCCATGGGACATAGCTCAAGCAGTACAGTACTTGTCCACCAAACTTAAGGACCCAAGTTCAAGTCTCAGTGCTGTCAAAAACAAAATACTTGGAAGTTTTAGCCAAGCATTAGTGGCTCATGCCTGCAATCCTAGCTAAGGAGTCTTAGATCTGAAGATCGTGGTTCGAAGCCAGCCCGTGAAAAGAAAGTCCATGAAACTCTTAACTCCAAATAACCACCAGAAAACCAGAAGTGGTGCTATGGCTCAAATAGTAGAGCACCACCCTTGAGCAAACGAGATCAGAGACAGCACCCAGGCTCTGATTTCAAGCCCCACAACTGCCCCCTACCCTTCAGACAAAAAAAAAAAACAAAAACAGGTACACAGGACCTGGAAAATGACAAGCATTTATCATGTGCCATCTGCCTGCACCCCAGAGCAGCTGCTGCAGCTGCCACAGCCAGCACCATGCCCCTCAAACTTACAGTGAATGCCTAGCCTCACTGCAACTGGAGGAGAGGTTGAGAAGGCCCAGATGTCAGCCCTGGCCTCGACGGTACCCTGACCTCACACTTCCAGCCTCCAGAGCTGGAGGTGAGGAGCCGAGGCCAGGGTGCAACCCCCTCCCTCCCCCATGGCAGAGGTGGCCTTGGGTGTCCTGCTGTGGAGGAGACGGAGCCAGCCTGCTCACTTGGGGGCACTGGTCCCAAAATGGAGACATGGCGACCCCATGCCTGCCTAGCCACCTCTGCTGTGGCATCAGAGTTTCACCCCCAGTGTGGCCAGAGTGCCACATAGTGTGTCCTGGTCACCTGTGGGAACTGGCAAGGGGAAGGTACATCACCACGGCTGGCATTGCCTGTGGAAGCTTGTGGGGGATGGGGGAGGACTGGAGACATGGTGATGGTGGTGTGGTAGGTGCTGCTCCCAGCTCGGAGCGGAGGCCCTCAGATGTCCTCCTACCAGGGATTCTGCAAGGTCAGACTGCTGTTATGGTAAGGCTACCAGGCGAGACTCTGCTCTTGTTAGGTCAAAGCAAAGAAACTGGTTTGGGCACTCTGTACCAGGGCAATGCCCTCTGCACCTCTGTCCTCAGGCACAATCCATAAAGTGAAGAGTTAGCTTACTGCCAGCCATGAAATGGCACACACTGGCACTGGCCTGCTTACCTCCATCTCTTACTACCACACATTGCAGTCAGTCTCCCTTTTTATCCTCAGATGGAGGATTAGCGCCTACTCAGCGCCTATTAGGGCCTTTGCATCTGCCACTTCCACCTGTATTACCTGCCTCCCCTCCAGCCCCCGCCCCTTGCTCGGTGGTCTCCTGAGCTGTCAGGGGCTCCCAGGCTGTCTACCCTAACTCAGCAGCTATGTGTCCTTCCTTTATCATTTATGTGTGTGTCAGTCTTAGACTTGAACTCAGGGCCTGGGCACTACACTGCTTCTTCACTAAAGGCTAGTGCTCTATCAACCTGAGCCACAGCTCCACTTCTGCTTTGGGTTGTTAATTGGAGATAAGAGTCTCACTTCCCTGTCCAGGCTGGGCTTGGAAATGTAATTCTCAGATCTCGGCCTCTCAAGTAGCTAGAATGCCTGGCACACTGTTCTTACTGTGTCTTCTTTTAGCATCTCTCCAGGACTGGGGACAGCCATACTTGTGTGCTACCTTCTTCCACGAGGCTAACAGACCTCCATGAGGGGAAGCTCAGGATTTTGGTGCTCCCTGAGACATTTCACAGGATGACAAATTACGTGAGGTTGGTGTCAGTGCCCCCTTTTGCTGGGAGAGAAACTGTCACTCTGAAGTCCTTCGGGTAGGCCCGGCCAGGACGTGTCCCGGGCACATAGCAAGCAATGGTACCACATCCGTCAGTCCGTGTCTAAAGAGTGCTCCAAGCAACTGCAGGGCAGCCCGCCCCCCCCCCCCCCCAGTCCTGGGTGGGAGACCTGCAGCTGCTGCAGAGGGAAACATGCACACTCAAGAGTGTGGAGCTGGGAGCCAAGCCCAGTGCCAGGGCAGCCTGGGTTGGTATCGTGGCTCTGCTGCTTACTGGCATTATAACTGACACGTGCCGTGTCCGGGGCTTATTGTGTGCACCTGCAGCACAGGACGGCTGACAGCCTCTCTCTCCTGCCGCCCAGTGCCCAGTGAAGATCTGCTTCCACTCTGAGCGAAGGGCGGGGGCTGGAGGAGCCACCCAGCACGGCAGTGCCTGCCTGCACACCCTGTGGTGTCAGCATGACCACAGCACGCACCTGCAGCTAGGGCCAGGTACACCAGACAGACCGCTCGGGCGCTAGGCAGATGTTTACTGGGAGGGCCGGGCCCGGGGCTGTCACGGGCCTGCCTCTGCCTCCTGCCTGGCGCCCAGCTCAAGTAGGCGTTTGCTGCCGTCACAACGTCGCGGAGGTGCAGGACAGGCAACCCTGGGGCCGGCGTTAGCACGGGAGGAGAAGGTGGCAAGCGGTCGGTGGACGTGTCGAGCGGTGGCTGGCTGGCCATCCGTCCGTGTGTCCGGCTCTCGCTCTCACGAGCTGAGGGGGAAATCCTCAACCTCCACCTCTCCCCAGCGGTGGCTGCCTTTCCCCTAAGCCTTCCGGAGGCCATCGCCGGCCCCAGGCCCCGGCCTGGCCCTGAGCCCGGCTCTCCTGCCTCGCTTTCCCCCGCAGCGCCTCGGGGCCCCGCGCCCCCTCCCCCACAGCCCCCCCTCTCCCCCCTCGCTCGCCCCCTCCCCACCCGCTCCCGCACCTCCAGGGCCCGCCCCCCCCCCCCGTTTCCACGCCTTCCCGGGGTCTCAGGCTTTCTCCCCCCGGCCCGAGAGCCCCGAGGCCCTCGGCGTCTCCCACCCCCCAGCTGTCTCCCTCCCCACCTCACCCCCGGCTGCCGCCCCCGACCCCCTCCTCTCCCGCCGGCTTACCTCACTCTCCAGGGCGAGGCCCCCCAAGCCCCTCAGCTTCCCGCACATGCGCACAAAGCTCGCCGGGACTCCATGCCCCGGCAGGCTTTGCGCCAAGCTCAGCCGTTCCCTCCCCCATCCTCCCTCCTTGACCTGCCGTTCTACCCAGCAATTCTCCTCTGTTGAGTCTCTCTTGGAACTACATTTCCCAGGAAGGATTTCGGCAAATGCAGTTTCTCATTGGCCTTGGCCTGTAGCACCAGCTCCAGAACTACATTTCCCAAGGTTCGTCCAAGCGCGGCGCACTCCCCATTGGCCTTCGTTGGCGCAAACAGCGCGGGGCCTCTGGACTACGTTTCCCAGAGTCCACTCGGGAAAGTTCTGAGCATGTGCAGAACCACCAGGGGAGAAAGCGAAGGCGGGGTTGTCGTGGAGACCGAGGATGCCCGCACTGCCCGGAGTCGGGTAGATGATGGCCGGAGGAAAAGGAGACCGCGCTCCCTGCCCAGGCCGATCCGAACTAGGGCGCAGAGCGGTGGTCGAGAGAGCCGGCTTGACCCCGCCTGGATGAGCCTGAATCGGTGCCCAGTGCTCCCTGCCTCAGTCTCCCCTCTTGTGAACTTCGGGAGAGAGGACGGCCCGGAATGCCGTCTCCACCTCTTCACCTGGCAGAGCCCCCAGTGATCAGATGTCTCCTCCAGGGAGCCTTCCCAGACGGCCTGCCAAAGCCTGGTCCACGCCGAGAGCGCGGGAAGGAGGGGACCCGCCACGCCCCCCCCCCCCCCCCGTCCACGACCCCGGGGAGCGCGGGAGACCCGCCACGCCCCTTCTCCCCCTCCACGCTGTACTAGCTGCGACTCTCCTCAGGGCACCCACGGCACGCGCCCGGCCACGGAGAGCAGCTCTTTCAACCCTCCATCTCCTGCTCCTGCCCGGCCTCTGAGGGGGGCAGGAAAAAGCAGCTCTCCCGCCCCCCCCCCCCCCCCCCCCGCGGGTGAGGATTTCCTTGGCTGTAAATGTCACTCTCACCCTCTGGGAAGCTCGAGCCTTTTGTAGCAATGCTATAATTATTACTCAAAATAATAATTAGCGTTTTCTGTTTGTGTGGTGCTTTGAAGCCGGAGATCCTCTGAAGGGGTTTGGTTCTTCCCGGGTCGCAGCCTGGGGCGCCCTAATGCTCAGATTTTGCTAATTGGACAAGTGGAGGAGCTCCCTCCCTCCCAGCATAGCGGGACTCAGGCGTGGGGTGGCCAGGCTTGAGACTGGACAATTAAATTAATAAAGTAATTGCTTAATGATGGGCTTCCCCCCCCCCTTTTTTTTTCACTTAGGTGAATATATAGGTTGTGAAGTGCTGGAAACTATCTTGCCACCATCAGACTCCCCTAGAGTGAAGATGGAATTGGAGTAAGCAGGCCGGGCATCGGTGGCTCACGCCTGCAATCCTAACTACTACGGAGGCTGAGGATCACGGTTCAAAGCCAGCCCCGGCAGGAAAGACCACGGCACTCTCGTCTCCAATGAACCACCAGAAAACTGGAAGTGGCGCTGTGGCTCAAGTGGTACAGCCCTAGCCTTGAGTTGAAGAGCTGAGGGACAGCGCCCAGGCCCAGAGTTCAAGACCCACAACGACCAAAAAACAAAACAAAAAAAGAATTGGAGTAAGCATAGTCAAAAACTAGCGAGAGATTGTTTGCAGCCCTGAATCAAGCCATACCTGAAGGTGTCTAGAGTTAGCTCTTGGGTTTGCTTTGTACACTTAAGCCAACACAGTATCTCTTCCCCTTGGCTTTTTACCTTGAACCTGCTCCGGCTGCATTTCGGCCGCAGTCGCCTGAGCGCTAACCTTGGGCTTCCTGGTCGGTGACTGGATTCCAGGGCCTTGGAATCCTCAGTCCTGGCCCTTGAAGTTCTAAGATCTTCAAGCTACGAGGAGGTGAAAGGAAGCTGCAGGCCAGGACAAGTGTCCGGGAGCCAGTCAGCCCTGGGCCCGGGGCCTGGCCTGGCCTCTCTGGCTGAGGGCCTGGGATAGCACGGGCGCGGGGACATGTGGGCTTTCCTAGGCCTGACCTGGCCGAGTCCGGAGCAGCCGCCGGGCAGAGGGGCTGGTGGATCCCGGACCTTCCAGGCACAGGCCCTGGGCCTTGAGCCCCAGTGCTGACATCCTCCTACCTTGTATTGGAAAATTTACTTTTGCAACATCTCTAACGCTAGGACACAGACATCTCTTTATTTTGTGCCCCCTGGGAAGATGTGAGGTTGGCAGCTCCCGTCTTGGCCTCCAGGCCGACCCAGGAAAGTACGACTCCTAAGCCAGGTCGCTCCCTCGGACCTGGAGTTTTCGGTCGGTCGGGTCTGGGCGTGCCTCCACACAGCTCACCCACACCGGCGACCGTGGGGGCGGAGGAGGGATTAGCGTCCGACTTCCCACTAGCCGAGCGGCTATAACTATAATCCGAGGCTCAGGTGGGACTAGGAGATGGAGCGAAGTGCAGAGCAGGCCTGCCGTCCCGGCCGTTCGGGAGGCTGATCCGGGGACCGGCGATCGGAAGGCGAGCCCGGGCTGCAGGGGCCGGGAGTGCTACACTTCAACCAACCACCCCAGAGCCGCACGGGGAGCTGCGGCTGCAAGAGCGGAGTGCCAGGCTCCATCCCCAAACCCAACGCGCGCGCCGAGCCCCGGTACCGAGCAGAGGGCGCGGGGGCGGGGGGCGGGGGAGGCGCGGCGCGCAGGCGCGGCAGGCCGGGCGGGGCCCCGGCACCCGGAAGCCTGCGCCTAACGGGCCGCGGGGCCGTGGGCGCCATAGAGCGGGGCGGAGGACCCGCGTCCTAGACGCGCCCGGAAGTGGCGCCCTGGGGGCACCACCGAGCGGGGGACGGTGGGGGTCTCCGCTCGCTGCCTAGAGCGGCCAGGCCGGAGGGTGGGGGTGGGGGGGGGGACATTGGGGGGAATTGCGGCGCGGGCGGAAGCGGCCTGGAAGGTCACTTCCGGCCTGGGCGCCCGTCCCCCTGACCCCAGGGTCTGAGTCGCCGCCGCCGCCACCGTCCTCGAGGCAGGCGAGAGGAGGAGGAGTGCGGCGCGGCGGGCCTGGAGCCGAGGAGGTGGGCGCGGGCGCGGGGGGCGGGCGCGGGGCACGGAGATGGACGCGCGTCGGGACACCGGGCTTTGGACTGGGGTGGGTGGGGAGGCGGGAGGGCGAGCGCGGCTGGGCGGGCGAGTGCGCGTGCGCGCCGTGGGGGGGGCGTGAGCGAGCGCGCGGCCGGCCGGGAGTGCGCGTGCGCGCCGTGGGAGGCGGGAGCGCGCGCGACCGCCGGGAGCGCGCCTGCGCTGAGCGTCGCGGCCCTGCTGCCAGTGCGCGTAGGCTTTGGGGCGCGCGAGCGCTGCCGACGCCGGGGGTCCGGGCAGTCCGGGGCCGTCCCCGGCCAGCTCGTCAGTGCCGCTGTCGGCTCCAGCGGTGGGCCGCGGCCGGAAGTGCTAGCTACTCCTGGGGGAAGTTGAGGCCCGGTGGTGGGAGGGCTCTGCCTACTAGGCCGGAAGCTCTGGCCCGAGGACGGCCAGCCCGGACCCCGGGCTTCCCTTTCCAGTCACCCGTCCCGTTTTTGCCCCGGGCGAGCCGCGCTGGCCTTTGATCCGGAGGGCGATTAGGGGTTCCGGAGGCGGCGGGAGGCCCATTCATTCGCCCGCGGGCGCCCGGAAGCGCGTGGGGGCAGCGCCCGGCCAAGGTCAGCGCCGCGTGGGTCTCGGGGCCCGGCCGGGGCCGCCGCCTTGCCGCTGCCCGGGCGGCGCCGAGTCCGGTCCCTGTCCGTGCCCCCACCCCGCCTATGGCCAGGCGAGTCCGTGTTGCGGAGGTGATCGTTCTGGACGTGCGGGTTAGCCTCGGCCACAGGCGGGAGAGGCGGGGTGTGACCCAGGCCTTCCTCCGTGCAGGCCCGCACCGGGCCCCGCGTCTCGGCGTCCCCTGCCCAGTGAGGGGTCAGGGCTGTCAGAGGGGACAGCCTCCATTTCTCTTCCCGCGTGGCTTCCTGCTTCCACGGTGGGCAGCGCTGAGGCCTGCAGAGATCCAGCCTCTGCTCCCGGCCAGTGTGGGTTCCAGCAGATTCCTGGGTGGGAGTGTCCACTGACTCCAGCTGTTGGCTGACCCCGGCTGTCTACTGACCCCAGCCGCGGGCTGACCCCGGCTGTGGGCTAGCCCTGGAGGACGGCACAGCCGCTGGGCCCTGCTATGCTCCCCACAGCTCCCTCCCCCCCCCCCCAATTCCGCTGTGGTTTTGTTTCCACCTCCACAGAGGGGGATAGGGGGAATGTGACTAAGTCGACCTAGGTGTGAGGTTCCAGATGCTTTCCTTTCAGAGCCACTTGTGCTAGTCCCCAGCATGGGTCTCCGTGATCCTCACTTCCCTTTCCCCAGGCGGTTGCCTCTTCAGTCTTGAAAGTGGAGCCGGTGATCACAAGGCTGCACTAGTCACACAAGGGGTTCTGATGCGCTGCTGTTGTGCGAGCCCACCTGGGTGGGAGTGGTCCCCGGAGCCAGACTCGTCAGTGAGCTGTGCTAGACACCTCAGCATGCCTCATACAGGCCACTCCTGGAGTCACTGAGGCCGGAAAGGAGACCAGCAGGGGCCTGGGGAGATGGGCCAGGAAGGCCAGTATGCCACGGAGCGTAGGGGGATGGGCCATGTGGCCACCGCACATTCCAAGCCTGTTGTGGGGTACATGGAGATGCATGAGCTTTGGGGGGGGGGGCAGGCGGGACACATAGTCCAAGACCACTGTCTGTGCCTCAGTGGTCCCTCTAGGATAGTCAGCTTGGGGCCGCAGATCTCTCCTACCTCTCCGGTGCTGCCCTGTGCTGTGCCAGGCATCGGGCCCCCAGTTGGGACAGCCCGAGCCTGGTGAAGCGTGCTGAGCATGGCTGGTGCTGGGCCTGTCCTGACCACCCTCCGATCTCCCAGGTGTGATGCTTTATGAAGATGGGAGTGACACTTGGACAGGGACTGGGGCCAGGCAGGCAAGTCCAGAGCTGACCCTCCCCAGTCCCACCGCTCCCGGCTGGCTTGTTCTCTGGGCAGGGTTGGCACTGTGTATACAGGCCTGTTCTGAGGGTGTCTTGGTATATTCCCTTGAGCCAGAAGTACTGGCCCCTGACTCAGTGTGTCTGTTGTATTCGGGGCTGCTGGCCCCTCACTCTAGGGACCCACAGCAGTACAGCAGGAAGGGCAGGGGCGATGCCACAGATGGCCATGACATGTGGGCATGCTGACCACAAGTCCTTGCTGGCCAGCCAGGTTGGTGGGAGCAGGGACAGCCCTGCTGTGGGAGTGCAGAGCCCTGCCCCACACAATGGGCTGGGTGTTCATTCTCCACCGGGGCTGGGTGGCCTCCAGCGATTCCTGGTTCTCCTTGGGCTGACAGAGTGGCGGTGTCACGTCTGTGTCGACCACCTCCTGGGTGTCGTGGCCACGCCGGGCACCCAGCAGCTCATCAGCTTCTGAGCTGGGGTAAGGTGCTCCCGCAGTGCCCTTGTGCAGAGCCTGCATGGGTAGGAGTCCCTGCCTCCCCACGGCAGTCTGCTGGATGCCCAGTGGCACGTGCGGGGACCACAGGAGGCTGTGGGTGGTGCCCCCCCGGGGTGGGGGACTCAGCCCTGTCCACAGGAAGGGTGGATTTTACACATGCTCTAGACAGACTGGCCTACGGTTTGGGCTCTGCTTCATGGTGGCATCTGCTACTCACTTTGTCTATGTCCTGGCTTCCTCGTCATAAACAGGGCTGCAGTGGAGTGTGCCAGGCAAGCCCTCCATGGTGTCTGCTGGCTTCTTGCAGTCTCACTGAGTCCAGATGCAGACTCCACGGAGTTGAGAGACGGAGGAGTGGTGTACCCTCCCCGCCTGGGTCACACAACTGGTCCACTCCTGGGCCTAGATGTACTGCCCCGCCTCCTAGCCCCCCCTGCCAGCTTAGGGGATCAGGCCTGGAGCTTATATGCTTACAGCGCCCTGTGCCCACAGGCTGGGCTTTGACCCATACTTGGCAGGTGCGTGGTGCTTGGGTAAGGAGAGTGGCTGGAGCCCAGGGGAGGTGTCGGGCGGGTGGCAGTGGCCAGAGCCCAGGGGCTCTCCCTTTCTCAGTGGATTTGCAGCCTCTGGATGTCCAAGTGTGCATGGTCTTTGGGGCACAGCAGCTTTCCACCCCGGGGTCCTCAGTGTGCTGGTGTGGTGTGCCCACACCTGAACGATGTTGTGCGTCTGGAACGTTGACGTACAGATCTGCATCATGTGCTCACTTCTCGGGCCTGGGCCTTCCTCCTGGCTGGGTGTTTGTACACATTAATGTGTGCATGTGTACGTACATGTTACGTGCATATGTGCACATGTGCTCAGCCTTGTCTCTCTGGCCCTCCTCTTGTAGAGCTGGGGTGTGGGAAGTGGACCCCCCAGCTTGTGTCTGATGGCTGATGCACACTACTTGGTGGACGCTTACGGCCACTGGAGGAATAACCAGCAGACCCTTCACCTGGTCTTAATCAGGCTGAAGGACATGGTGAAGCTGAGCTGTTGGGGGGGAAGGGGGGTGTCAGGTAGATCCCAGACTGGGACAGTTGCTGGGATGTGCTGGTGGAAGGGGAGAGAGAAAATCAAGGGGGGTTGTGTCCTGGCTCCTGCAGAAAGGGGAGACTGCTGTAACGGTGCTGCAGGGGTGCAGGGCAGTTGGGGAGAAGAAGGCCTAGGACCTGGAAGCCGGGACGACCAGGAGGTGTCTGTACACCAGTGGGAAGTGGACGTGTGGGCGGTGAGCTCCGAGTGCTGAGTGGAGGTGAGGGTCAGGCAGGGACTGTGCAGCCCTAAGCAGCACTGGGAGGACAGGGGATGAGATTGGCAGAAGAAGAAAGGGAATAATTGGTAGGCAGACATCCAGGAGGTTGGGGGGGGGAGGCGGCTAATGACAACAATAATGATAATTTGTCTGGGCCTTAATAGCCTTGTCAGATCCGTGCTAATTGGATCGCTCAGGGGCCCTGCTCCAGGGAGGGTGGAGGTGGAGCGGGAAGCATCTTCAGCGGCCCAGAGGACACCAAGGGGCTGGGCGGAGCTGGGCCCCAGGGCTCCTTCTGGAAGGTGCTCAGTGCCTCACTCTGGTTCCTCTGGTGGCTGCCTAGTGCTCTCCCCCTTTCTTTCTGCATAGAGGTGCTGAATGAGTGCTTGGGGGTGTGACCGGAAACCGCCTTCCAAAGCCCTTCGCGATAGTGGCTCCTCCACACAACTTGCTGGCACCTGGTATCCTGTTCTGAGTAGGTGCAGCTCTAGTCGTAGCGTAGCAGCCAGGGGCACTTGTGCCCAGGCTGGGGCTGGCCCCACCTGCCTCTCTGCATAGGCCTTGGAAGTGCCGCAGGAGACTCAATAAAGATTTGCCTACCCGCAGATGACACCAGACTCCTGTGCTAGGGCCTGTCGCGTGCTGCACACCTCCTGCCACCCCGGCTTGCCAGTAGAGGCCCATGCCAGCTGGAGATTCAGGAATGTGCAGAAGGGCAGCGGAAAGCCTGTGCTCCCTCCGAAGCCTCATGGGTCTGAGCAGGGCTGTGTGGCATTCACCGTGCCATGGCGCCTGGGTTAGAACTTGCTTGTGCTCCCCCCTGGAGCCCCTGGCGCTGGCTCCCCAACTCAGAAGCACAGAGAGATGCAGGATGTGAGGACCAAGCCTCTCAGCCTGGGCCCAAGCTGGTCCTTTTGCCCACTGTCTGCCCCCTGGTTGCCTCCTGGTCCCAGATTCCTGGGCCGGAACCGAGGCGTGGAGTGGCGTCAGACACCCTGCGGTAGCCGCCGTGTCCATGGCTAGCACCGGCCTTAAGGACCTTCGTCCTGTGCGACATCCTGTGAGCCCTGCTTTCCCTTTTCAACAGGGCTCAGCATGGAGCTTCGGGAAGAGGCCTGGTCTCCGGGGCCACTGGACTCGGAGGACCAGCAGATGGCCAGCCACGAAAACCCAGGTGAGGCTCGCAGCTGGCTTCCCTGCCTCAGCCTGGCTCCGCCCCCGGCCTGGCCCCACCCTCAGCCAGCCCTGCCCCTCCACGTTCAGGGTCTCATGAGTGTGTCCTGGGTGAGTGTGCCCTGGGCTTTCTGTCTAACTTTTCTGGGACCCCAGTGGGGCCTGCACTCCTCTTCCCTGCCCCCTACCTGCTCTGGCTCTAGGGCCCGGGCTGCCCGCTGGACAGCCATTCACACTGCCGGGAGGTGACCTCAGTAGAGGGCCGGGTGCCCTGTGGAGACCTCGCCTTCCCGAGGGTTAGGGTGGAAGTTAGAGGTCAGCCTCTTGCCTGGACGTGTTGCTGGGGTGCAGGAAGGGGTGCAGAGATGAGCTGACCACCCAGGACAGACCAGCCCGCAGGCCCGGAATGCAGTGCTGGGGAGGCCGAGCCGCCAGCCCTGGCCAGTATGTGGTGCTTGGTGGAGCCACTACCTCTGACCTCGTTTTCCATCTGACCTCTTCTCTGACCTCTCCAATCTCCCCCTCCTCCGGCCTCCCTCTGATCTCCGGCCATGACCTGCTCTCGACTCCAGTGGACATCCTCATCATGGATGACGACGACGCTCCGAGCTGGCCTCCAACCAAGCTGTCCCCGTCCCCGTCCGCACCGCCCGCCGGGCCCCCACCGCGGCCCAGGCCCCCCGCGCCCTACATCTGCAACGAGTGTGGCAAGAGCTTCAGCCACTGGTCAAAGCTGACGCGGCACCAGCGCACGCACACGGGCGAGCGGCCCAACGCCTGTGGCGACTGCGGGAAGACGTTCTCGCAGAGCTCGCACCTGGTACAGCACCGCCGCATCCACACCGGCGAGAAGCCTTACGCCTGTGCCGAGTGCGGCAAGCGCTTCAGCTGGAGCTCCAACCTCATGCAGCACCAGCGCATCCACACCGGCGAGAAGCCCTACGCCTGCCCCGACTGCGGCCGCAGCTTCACGCAGAGCAAGAGCCTGGCCAAGCACCGGCGCTCGCACAGCGGCCTCAAGCCCTTCGCCTGCCCTCGCTGCGGCCGTGGCTTCGGCCAGCCCAAGAGCCTGGCGCGGCACCTGCGGCTGCACCCGGAGCTAGCGGGGCCCGGCGTGGCGGCACGGGTGCTGGCGGCCAGCGTGAGGCGTGCGCAGGCGCCCGAGGCGGCGGCGGCGGGCGGCGAGCTGGCCATCCCGGTGGGCGACGGCGAGGGCATCCTCGTGGTGGGCGCGCCGGGTGACGGTGTGGTGGCGGGGGCCGCGGCGGGCACGGGCCCGCGGGGCGCGGCGTCCCGGCCGCGGCGCGCCCCGGCGCCCAAGCCCTATGTGTGCGTGGAGTGCGGGAAGGGCTTCGGGCAGGGCTCGGCGCTGCTGGCGCACCAGCGTGCACAGCATGGAGACGGGGACGCGCCAGCGCCCGGGCCCGGCGAGGAGCCTGCGCACATCTGCGTGGAGTGTGGTGAGGCCTTCGCGCAGGGCGCCGCGCTGCGCCGCCACAAGCGGGAGCATGCCGTGGGCGCGCCCGCCATCTGCGGGGCCTGCGGGCGCGGCTTCCTCCGGGTGGCCGAGGCTGCGGACGGCGAGCCCCGGGACGCGGAGCACCGCTGTGCCCAGTGCCGTGCCACCGAGGCTCGGTAGGGGCGGGCGCCCGGGGGGGCGGGGCCCCTCGGGCTGGGTGGGACCGGAGACCGGGCCGCGCCCCACCGCATCGCAGCAACGCACCAGGCGACCGCGGCAGCAGAGACTGCGACAGCGTGGCCCCTTCTGGACTGGGTGAGGGGCGCGGCCGCGGGGCCGGGTGGGGCGGGCAATAAACGCGCTGTCCAACCGTCCCCACCTCAGTGTGGTTTGTCCCCAAGGCGGGGCTCCGGCCTGGGCCTGGAGGGAGTAGCTCGGCCTTCGCAGGTTCGAGTCCAGCCCGAGCTAGAGCGGAGTGTAAATACAGGGTGGGGCGCAGACCCCTAGCTCCGACAAGTACCAGTCAGCAAGGGGAGGTAGGCAGCCCTGCCGCAGGCCGACCATCCGGGTGAATCCCAATGCCGGGTTCTCGCATCCCAGGGCCTGATCTCGGGGGCCCCCCGCCGGGGATAAGTTTCGGCCCTAGGGGAGCCCAACAACGCCTCGGCTCTTCTACCACCCAGACAGTGCTCTCCACCAGCCCGCATGGGGAAGACTCGGGCGTGCCCCGATGCAGAGCAGACCCTCCAGCCGGCAGGGTCTGCGCTGTCGGGGAAGCCCACGAGGCTGAGGGGCTGCGTGACTTGGGTGCGGAAGCTGCCATGTGGTTCTATTACGCATTGCAGACTTGCAGGAGCATGGGTGGCGGGGACTCTGGGGCTCAGGCTTGCCGAGCCGGTCAGGACTGTTAGAAGTCCAAGCAAAGCCCGCCATGGAACCTGTGGAGCCAAATCCGGACGGGAGGAGCCTGCCTTGGCGGCCCTGGGCCTAAGGTTCCTTGGCGCCCGGCACGCACCTCGTGGGGTCCGCCCGGCCCTCCGCCAAGTGGGCAGAGCCCATGCACTGTCGGGCGTCCTCCTTGGCGTGCAGCCTGTAGGCCTGGCACAGTGGACACCGGACACCCCAGCCCTTCCCGCACCTCGGGGGTGAGCACCGGGCTCCTGGTGTCCACCCCAGGAACAGTGGCATGAGCGCTCATTCCGGTGCTCACCCCAGGAGCATCGGGAGCAGCTCCTCACCGAGGTCTTGTGCCGCTGCTGTTCCAGCTGTGGGGACCCGGGGCGGGCGGGGCAGCCGTGCCTTGGCCCCTCGCACCGCACAGCACCTGCTGCGAGGAAAGGCAACGGGAAGCCTGGCGATGTGCATGCACTTCCCGGCCAGGCCCAGCCCCTGGCGCTGCCCCAGGCCCGGCCTATCCCTGGCCGCCCCTCACAGGGCGCTGACCACGGGGAGCTCGCACGTGGGCTCCAGCACCCCGCGGCCAGGACCGGTTGCGGTGGGGTTTCCTGCCTCAGCGATGTGGTCAGGCCAGGCCAGCCCCCCCTCATCTCCTGGACCTAGGCTGGGAAGGGCATGGGATACTGGAGCCCTCAGCCCTTGGTGGTTAGTAGCACGAGCTTGGTGGGTCTCCTCTAATCCCAGCCATGTGAAGATAGAGTGAGGCCTGTGATTGGCCAACATTCTTGAGATCCTTCCAGAAAGCCAGGACAGCCCGAGCCCCAGGTTTGGGAGGTGGGGAGGCAGGCCTCAGCTCTAAACCAGCACCACTGATCTCCCTCAGGACAAAACTGTGCGTAAGAGGGGGCGCTTTCAGCCCCTACTGTGAGCATAGTCCCCTGTCACCTACCTCAAGCATCAGCAGTGCTGCCACTTGTCCCCTGCTGGTGACCCAAGTGCCAGGCCTGACCGTCAGCCACAGCCCTGTCTCCAGAATAAGCAGGTTACCACACCATCCTCCCTGGATTTGTACTCTATGAGTCCAGCATACACAAGTGTCATTATTGCCCTCTGGTATTCCCTGGAAGCACCGGCCTGCACCTGTTGTCCCCAGTGTTGCAGTTATGGAGGGCTAAATTCACAAAGCCACTGCCTCCAGGACCAGCCCTGCCTCCAGGACCAGAAGGCAAGGGGCTGGGCTTCAGGTCCGACTAGGAAATGCCTCAGTCCTCTAGAGGATCCAAGACAGATGCGGTCCTGCCTCTATGCAAGCCCAGTGGAATGGGTCCTACCAGCTCTCTGTTCCCTTCCTGGGCACTCATGGCCAGGCCTGCTTCCCGCCAGCAGGGGGCACCTGTGACTGCTCTAGCCAAACGCAGCCCGGTGAGGACCTGTTCCAAACCTGAGGTAAAGTATGTGTAGCTAAGAATGGAACCCATCCCTCAGCCCAGCAGCCTTGGAAGCAATGGTCCTGTGGGACCTGGGGGTGGCACAGGCCTCAGTGGCACCTGGGTCCTTGTAAGTTCCTGAGGCAGAGGACTTGCCCAGCTCACACCTGAACTCCAGAATTGGAAGACAGATGGGCACTGGGAGCTCAGGCCTATAGTCCCAGCTACTCAGGAGGCTGAGATCTGAGGATTGTGGCTCCATGCCAGCCCAGGCAGGAAAGTCCATGAGACTCTTATCTCCATTGAACCACCAGATAAACAGAATTGGTGCTGTGGCCCAAGTGGTAGAGCGCTTGCCTTGAGCTGAAGAGCTGAGGGACAGTGCCCAGGACGAGTTCAAGCCCCACAACCAACAAAAAACAACAACAAAAAAACCCCAAGAACTGCAGTCAGGACCTCACGCTGCCTCCCTGCAAGGTGGCACCTTTTAAGAGTTGGGAACGTGGCTCAGTGGTAGTGCTGGCCTACCACGCATGAGGCCCTGGATTCGATTCCTCAGCTCCACATATACAGAAAAAGCCAGAAGTGGTGCTGTGGTTCAAGTGGTAGAGTGCTAGCCTTGAGCAAAAGAAGCTCAGGTACAGCACCCAGGCCCTGAGTTCAAGACCCAAGACTGGCAAAAAAAAAGAAAAAGAGTTGTGCTTAGTGGAAGGATGGGCTGTTGGAGGTGTGGCCTTCAGGCATTGTAGGCTCTGCCCCATCCTTGTTCACCAGAGGCTGAGGGGGCTTGCTGTGTTCTGTGATTCCGTCATGCCGACTGCCTTGTCACCGTGGGGCCGACCATGGGCTAAAACCGCCGCAGTGACACCACAGCCCTTTTTTTTTTTTGCAAAGTAATTATCCCTTAGAGAAACAGAAGACAGACACCCCTCCTCCACAAATTGTATGAAAATCTAACACCCCATCCCCAAGACTAATGGTTCCAAAGCCCCAGAAACCAGAATCTACCCAACAGCCTGAGCTGATCAGTGAGCTCAGTTTGCCCTTCACCCATGAGGAAGGGGTCACCAAGCAGCTGGCCTCGCCCATGTGAGCCTCCAGTCCTGAGCTATATGTGCCCCCTTCCCCCCACCATGGCAAGCCCCAGCCCCAGAACTCCAGCCTGTCCATGGAGACCCAGAGATCAGTTCTCCATCCCACTTAGAAGTTCAGCTTTGTGTTAAGACATGGAGCCAGGGTGCCATTTTGCATTCAGACCTGAGCAGTGTCATCTGATTTTGAGGAGCTAAGCCAGCTTTTCCTTTCCTGTTAACCCCCGCCCCAAGAGGACCATGGGGCTGTTCAGATGCTCAGTGTTTATTCCCCCACCCTGGCCCCCAGCTCTGTGTGCTGAAGGGTCACTGCACATACATCCAGGTCCTGGGAGGGGAAAGGTCGCAGACTTCAGGTGCAATGACCAGGTTGCAGGGATCCGTGTGGGCCAGGGAAGAGCCAGAGACCACCGTCCCCCTGGAGGTGTTCTGGTCCTGCAGTGGTGTGTGTGCGTGTGTGTGTGTGTGTGTGTGTGTGTGTGTGTGTGTGTGTGTGTGTGTGTGTGTGTGTGTGTGTGTGTGTGTGTGTGTGTGTGTGTGTGTGTCTCCAAGCCTTCAGTTTTTCCACCAGTACCGGTCGTCTTCCTCAAGGGAATACCAGTCATCCCTGATGGTCAATTGGGGTTTTTGCTGCTGTGTCTCCTCCAGCAGCTTTCTGACCGGAGGGGGGTACTGCTGCTTCCACAAGCTGTGGAGAGAGGAGCCGGTCAGGCTGAGATCTTGCTTTTATCAAGGACTGCGAATCTCAGCTCGAGCACTTCAAGAGAACGTTTTCCTCAAGCAACAAAGTCCCTGAGTGCAAAGGAATCCCGGAGCAGCCATGGAGAAACAGCGTCTCTCCCCCCCCTCCCCCCAGGGACCAGGGAAGGCTGCATGCTACTTGGCCCTCTGAGCTCCTTCATGGACTTGAGGGGCAGAGGGCCACCCTCCCCACCCACAGTGTGGACTTGGGCCAGCAAAGGCCAAAGGCCAGTTCCTGGAGTCCAGGGTGGGGTTCCGTGCCGCCCCTCTCGGTGCCTTGCTGACCCCTCATTGCCAAAGGCTGGGCCATGGACACACGTGCTGTCTCCCCCATGGGGTGCTTTTCCAGCCAGCTTGTGCTATCATCTTTGTTTTTGTTTTTTGGTTAGTGTGGATCTTGATCTTTGGGCTTGGGCGCTGTCCCTCTGCTCTTCAGCTCAAGGCTAGTGCTCTACCACTTGAGCCACAGCGCCACTTCCAGTTTTCTGGTGGTTCATGGGAGATCAGAGTCTCACAGACTTTCCTGCCCAGGCTGGTTTTGAACCGCAATCCTCAGATCTCAGCCTCCTGAGTAGGTTTACTGGCGTGAGCCACTAGAGCCCGGCCACTATCATTTTATAACACATCAACATAACCACATCCAGCCCTGTGTGGTGAAGCATGCCTGTCACCCCAGCACTCCGGAAGCTGAGGCAGGAGAACCATATGTTCCAGACCACCCTGGACTGAATGGTGGGACCTGGTCTCCCACTGAGCCCCAGGTATCCAGCCTGCCTTCCTCTCCTGCCATCCTCATGTCTGCCCTCCATGACAGCGTGCCTGGCCTGGCCTGGTTCCACCACGGCTAAAAGCAAACCCTGGATTCATACTACGGCTCCAATACGACCCTCACAGGACAACGAGGCCCCGCAAGTTCCGGGCAGGGCCGCACCTCAGCCATTCTATGGCCCACACCTTGGTCGCACTCAAAGACCAGGTTTGCCTCCTGTAGCACCTCGGGGACTCACCCAATCACGTGCAGGCCACAGGAGGGGTGTGCAAAGGCAGAGCAGAGTGTGGCCACCCCCGAGGGGCTGAAGTCATTGCGCAGCAGGTTCAGGCTAGTCAGGTACCGGTTGTAGGACAAGGTGGACGACAGCACAGCACAGCACTCCGAGGTCAGACCACACGCCTCCAAACTGCAGCACAGCAGCCGAACCCCAGAGCCCAGGCTCACCTCCATCCCAGGGCTGGCACACAATGCTCAGTTGTGCAGCCAGGGACACTGCCCGCAGGGCAGCCTCCTCCATCTCCTCCACCTCCATCTCCTCCCTCTGGATTCCCACCTCCCTCACCCATGGGCCTGACCATTTGAATGTTTACTGCAAACGCTGTCACAGCACCCATGACTGGAACCTGGCCCCATTCTGGTGTGCTCACTTCCCCTGGTTCCACACTGTTGTGCATGTACAAGTGCCACCCCCACACAGCCCATTCAGCTCTGCTGGTGCGGGTGCTGGGAGTCTCCGCTGTCCTTGGCTTCCTGACTGTCCCTCATGCTGGGTGGTTTTGGTCACCACACCCCACCATGTCCCCCACTGTGGGCCTCCACCTGGCTGCACGCCGGGCACACAGGGCACTGAGCAGTCCGCCCTGACCTGCCCCTCCTGCTGCCCGCCCTTCCTCTGGCCTCTCGAGAAGCGCAGCAGCCTCCCTGCTCCATTGCCATTCTAGTCTGAGAGTTGGAGCAGATCCCCTAGCTGCCTCCCAGGAGCCCTCCTGCCTCAGGATGCAGTGGGGCCCCAGGACGTCACCCGAGTCTCCGCAGGGATCCGTACTCCTGCTTCAGCCCCTTGCACAGCTTGGCCACCCCGAGGTCCCCCAGGGCATTGGCGGTGAGGTCTAGGCTCTGCAACTGCTGGCTTTGGGCCAGCACGCAGGCCAGGTGCAGGCCGGAGGCCTGGGTGAGGCTGCAGCTTGCCAGCCTGCAAGACACATGTCCATATCCTCGTTTGGGGGGGTAGGTGGGGGAAGGGACTCGGATGACAAAAGGTTCCTGACAGGGGAAGTGGGGCAGGCGGGTGGCCGTACTCACTCCAGGTCCTGGATGCGGCAGACTGGCACTTGGAGGGCCTCACACAGCAGCCGTAGCCCGCCATCCCCCAGGGGGTTTGCACACAGGCTCAGGTGCGTCAGGCTGGAGTTGCTCATCAGTGCCAACATCAGGAGCCCGCAGCTGGTCACGTCCAGGTGACAGCGGTTCAGTCTGGAGGGGCGACGCAGGAGGCATCACACACGCACGACCTGCTGTGTGTCTCCCCTGCGGGCACCACACCCCAGTCCACTGCAGTGCAGGGAGGGGGTTCGTGTCCCACCGCTGCCATCTCCATGTGACCCCAGAGCTCCACTCAAAGCCTGAACCTGCTGTCATAGGGTTCTGAGCTCAGAGTCCAACCTGACCCTGGGGGTGAGAGCTGGGGTGGACTGGGGACTCCAGGACAGACTCCATTTCCTCCATATCACAGTGTTAACTTTTTTGGGGGTGGCAGGCCTGGGGTTTGAACCCACAGCTTTTACATTTGTGAGACAGGCAGGTGCTCGCAGCCATAGCCACGCCCCACCCCACACCCCCAGTCCCTGCTGCCTTGTTTTCCAGGTAGGGTCTTGTGCTTTTGCCCAGGGCAGACCTGACATGGAAGCCCATGCCCATGTCTCCTGAGTGGCTGGGACAGCAGGCACCCAATGCCTTGCTCGGATTCATTCTTTGCCATGGGGTCTCAGGCGATTCATTCTTTGCCATGGGGTCTCAGGCTGTCTCAAACCTTGATCCCCTGTTCCCTGCCTTCTGTGTAACAGGCTACAGACACGAGCCTCTACACCTCCCTGCCACACTTCCAACCTCAGCATCACAGACGGCAGTCACTGCCCTGTTCCCCTCCTCCTCTCCCTCTCAGGACCTTTGCACTTACATCAGGGTCCTGAGTAGCCAGCCAGGGGAGCCCGGGGGCGCTTACCCCACACCCACAGAGCCCATCTGCTCTGGGACGTATGGACTGGGATCCCGACATCAGTGGGGCACCACTCTGTCCCCAGTCACAATGCACGGTGGCACGCATGCATGAAGATTCCAGTCCCCGCTTCTCCCTGAAACTACCAACCCTCCATCCCCAGCCCCGCGGTGCCGTGTTCCAGGCAGTCACCACATGCTTGGCTAAGATGCCACCTGGACATACTCCACAGGGGTACCAGTTATAGGCAGATCCACTGGTCACGGGGAACCAGGACCAGTCCCACAAGAGCCTGAGCAGCTCAAGGCTCTGGATCCAAGCTCTGGGGCTGCTGCGATCACTACTACTACTAAGTGAATACAAGTGAGCTGGAAAACAGCCAAGCACGCAGGAGGAGAGTCACAGGCAGAAGTGAGCAGCAGAGCTTTCTGTGCCAAGAACTCAAGCACCTGGGCTAGATGTGGGGACCCCCTATGGGTACAGGGGACCCCCCCATGTCTCAAGTCCCGAGCCCCGCCCCCCGCCGCTCTGCTTCCCATGGGAAACTCACACAAGCCGCTGGAGCGTGCTGCCGGGCAGCCGCAGCGGGCGGCACAAGGGGTGCAGCCCGTCAGTGCCCAGCGCGTTGTCTGCCAGGCACAGGTGCGTCAGGCTGCAGTTGCTCATGAGCGTCAAGGCCAGCAGCCGGCAGGCGGCGTCTGTAAGGCCACAGCTGGCCAGTCTGTGGGAAAGAGCCCTCAGGGGAGCGGGGGTGCTCGGGTTGGCCCTCTCCGTACCCCCTCTCCAGGCCAAGTGGGGGACAGACTGGCTCGTCCCCTGTCCCCGGCTCCCTCACTTGGTTAGATCAGAGCTACTGCCCCCCCCCCCTCCACCATATGTGCCTCGAGCACACAGCACGGCCAGGTGGCTCAGGAGCACGCATAGACTGGCTTTCCCAGCCACAGGGACAACTCAGGCAAGGCAGCCACGTGAACCTCTCACCCTTCCCTTCACCACGAGAAGCGAGGCTGCCAGGTGGTCTTCCCTAAGCTCCGCTCTGGCGTGCCCTGGTCCTCATGCGGCCTAAGCTCAGAATCCATGCTGCTGCCTTGCCAGCCTGGGGCTGCGGCTTTGGGGGTCCTCAGAGCCCCCTCCACTCCCCCGGGCATCCCTCAGCCCTGCTGCCCCACGCCGGAGGGCTCCTCCCCCCCACCCCACCCCCCACCCCCGCCCCAGGTCCTAGAGAGGGAGGGCAGGGACTCACATCAACCTCTTCAGGGAGCACTGCGGGCTCCTCAAGGCGTCACAGATGGGCTGCAGGGTCTGTGCCGTCAGCTTGTTTCTTGCCAGGCTGAGTGAGGTCAGGCTGGTGCAGGGACTGAGGGCCTGGGACAGGGTGCGGGCTCCCGCGAGGCTCAGCGCACAGGAATCCAGCCTGCAAAGACAGCACCACCATGCAGAGCATCTTCCCACCCCACAGAGAACTCCCACACTGCACTGCACTGCACGCTTGCCAACCCCCCATAAAGAGCGCTCATCATGCAGCGCATCCTCCCTGCAAACAGCTCCACAATGCAGTGCATTCTCATTCCCCATGGAACAGTTCCCACAATGCAATGCATACTCCCTACATACAGCTCCCACAATGCCGTGCATTCTCATTTCCCCATAGAGATGGCTCCCACAATGCAGTGCATCCTTTCTGCAAACAGCTCCCACAATACAGTGCGCTCTCATTTTCCCCACAGAGACTGTTCCCACAATGCAGTGCTTTTTCTTTCCCATAGAGATGGCTCCCACAATGCAGTGTCCCAGCCCATAGCCATGGGCCCCACAGGTTCTTGCTCAAATGCCCCCCCTCCAACTCTGGCCTCTGCTCATTCCAGTTCTTCCAGGTGGGGTGGACTGGCTGTGTGCACACCTCTCCACTCCACTCCCCCTCTGTCTGGGATCATCTAGGCCCTGTGCAAGCTCCCTGACCCTGGGAGAGCTGAGCCCACACTGCCCAGCCACCTCTCCGAGTCCTCCCTGCCTCCTTTCACAGCTTTGTGATAGCATTTGCACACTGGGAGTTGTAGTGCATGCCTATAATCCCAGCTACTTGGAAAGATCAGTTTAATGCCAGCCGAGACATAAAATTAGCAAGACCCCATTCTGAACAAACAACCCCAGCATGGTAGCACATGCCTGTGATCCTAGCTACATGGGAAGTAGTAGCTGTGGATCGAGGTCGAGGTGGCGCATGCAAAAGACAGCAAGATCTTACCTGAAATGAAAGCAAAAAGTGGCTGAAGTGGTGGAGCACCTGCCTCGTGGGCGTGAGGCCTGGAGTTCAATCCTCAGGACCCTCCCCAAAGTAAACATCAATGTGACACATGGAGATGGGACCGTAGACTCACCGCAGAGAAGTCAGTGAGCAGCGGGGGTGCTTCAGGGCCTCGCGGGCAGACTCCAGGTCCCGGTCGCACAGTGCGGTGCTGGCCAGGTCCACCTGCCGCCAGTTCCGCTGGGTGGCAAGGACCGGCCACAGGTGCCGCAGGCCGGAGACCTCGGCATCCTTCAGTCTGCAGAGAGAAGTGGTAATGCGGGCGCCAGGTGTGGCTGGACCCCACCCTTCCCACTCACCGTTCTCCAAGCTCTAATTTTCTTTTCTTTTTTTTGGGGGGGGGGGCTGAACTCTGGGCCTGGGCTCTGTCCTTCAGCTCTTCAGCTCAAGGCTAGTGCCCTACCACTTGAGCCACAGCATTACTTCTGGCTTTTTTTCTGCTTATGTAGTGCTGAGGACTTGAACCCAGGGCCTCTTGCATACAAGGCAAGCACTCTACCACTGAGCCACCTTCCCAGCCCCCAAGCTCTAATTTTCTATCCAATTAGTGGTCTGGATTTTTTTGGTGGTACTTGGTAGAATGTCGGCCTGACAAGGGTGACACCTGAGCCACATCCTAAACCCTAGTTCACATTGGGTCAGTGTATTAGGATCTCATGCTCTGTCTCACGCTGTGGCCTAGATCACCATCCTGTCTACACCTCCCTAGTGGCTGGGACCCCAGGCATCCACCACCACACCCAACCATCACTTGAGATGGAATCTTATGTGCCTGTTGCCCTGGCTAGACTCAAAACCATGATCCTCATGATCCCTGCCTCTGAAGTAGCTGGGATGACAGGCGTGAGCTACCACGCCAAACCTGTGTTAATAGCAGCAAATGTTTCATGTCAGAGACCACCGTGACCTCTGCCCTCCCGTGGCTGTGAGTAGATGGACACGGGAGAGGGCAGGCATGGGTCGAGGGACTTGTTGACCCCTCATGTCCTGCAGCTCTGAAGAGAGGTGTTGCTGTTAGGAACAGCAAAGATGTGCTGGGTGCTGTTGGCTCATGCCTGTCATCCAAGCTACTCAGGATGCTGAGATCTGAGGATCGAGGTTCAAAGCCAGCCTAGGCAGGAAAGTCCGTGAGACTCTTATCTTCAATAAACCACCAGAAAACTGAAGTGGTGCTGTGGCTCAAGTGGTAGAGCACTTGCCTTGAGCTGAAGAGCTGAGGGACAGTGCCCAGGCCCAGAGTTCAAGCCCCATGGCTGACGAAAAATAAAACAACAACCAAAAAGAACCCAGCAAAGACGTGAGGGGTGGGAAATTTCAGAGTGGCAGAGCCAGCCATGGGAGGAGGAGGGGAGGTGAATGGGCTTGAGGGGGAGACATTTGAGACAACGGAAAGAACTGGAGATCAGCCAGGCAGGGAGCTGGATGCAGTGGCTCATGCCTGGCACCCTAGCTACTCAAGAGGTAGTGATCAGAACAACAGTTCCAGGCCAGCCCAGCCAAATGTGAGTGAGACCCCCTCTGCCATCTCCCCCCAGGAAGTTTAACTAGCAAAATTCAGGCCAGGTCTGTGGGGCAGAGCAGTATGGAGCTCTACTAGAGAAATAGTTGAAGAGGGCTGGGAGTGTGGTTCACCTGTGTAGCAAGTGGGAGGCCCTGAGTTCAAGTCCCAGTGCTGCAGGGGTGGAGGGGGAAAGTGGGCTGTTTCCTCAGATGTGCATGGAGGGGGGTGTCCCTGGGGCAGGACCCCCATAGCGCCTGCTCCCGACAGTAAGAGCCTCCTGCCTGGACAGGGCAGGGCAAACTCACATCAGCCCCTCCAGGCTGCAGGCTGGGCGCCTCAGCTGTACACACAGCATCTTCGTGGCCCACTCGCTCAGGACGCTGCTGCCCAGGTGGAGCTGGAGCAGGCTGTGGTGGGTGCTGAGCATGGAGCAGAAGTTCTCCCACTGTGCCCTCAAGTTGACCGTGGTCCCCGGCCCGCTATGGAGAGAGGAATGGATGAGTTGCCACCAGCAGCTGCCATGGCAACCACAGAGCCACCGCCTCCTGCCCTCCATCCAGCCTGGCAAGGCACAGCATGCACAGGGGAATGGCCAGGACTCCCAGATGTGCAGAAAATGGAGCTAACATGAGCTACCCCAGACCAAGGGCCCTGGGTCTTAGGGAGGCTGAGATTGGAGGATCACAGGTCGAGGCCAGCCTTTCACGGTGGCATGGGCTACTCCAGAGATGGACCCCGAGCAGGGGTCACCCGGGAACGTATCCCTGACACTCCCAGAAATCACAGCCGAATGTTGTCAGGGGGCCCCAACTCCAGCAGGGGCCTGGAATGCACGGTGGGTGGCGCCAGTACTTACCAGGGGCTGGCCAGGCTAGGCTCCGGCAGCTCATCCGGCAAGAAGAGATGTCGGATGTTGATGTGGAGGCTGCGCAGCTCCAGGCAGGACTGGAGGCAGAAGGTGGACACCAGCAAGTCCGCCCCACTGCCAATTGGGAGCCGCACGTGCTGGACACCGCTCAGTGCCCTGCGCACAAATGCGGCGTCCTGCGTCTCGAAGAGGAGGTGGAAGGCGTCCAGGGCGTCAGCCGGGGCAGCGCCAAGCCCCGAGACCCAGCGCCGCAGAAGCGGCTGCAGTGCTGGGCTGACTGGGCTGCCCAGCTGGGTCTCCAAGACACGGGCCACGCCTGGGCTCAGGAAGCCAAACAGGAAGCGCCTCACCCAGGGCAGGAGCGAGGCCAGGCCAGGCTGTGGGGCCAGCATGGGCCTGAGTCGGCCATGGGGACCCTGGCCCTGAGGCCCCAGCGCCTCTACTGCGTAGAACAGGGCAGCGCAGAAGGCAAGGAAGCTGGAGTGGAGGAATGCGTAGCCTCCCTCCTGCTTGGAGAGGAGGCCAGAGTGCACCAGGGCCTCTGCCTCGGCCTCCAGCAGCCCATGGGCCTGCAGCTGCTGGCCAGGGAACAGGCTCCTCTCGCCCCACAGGCCATGGACGGCCAGGCTGCACAGGACCCGCAGGGTGGCCAGCTTCCCCGGGGCCAGCCGGCGGAGCAGGAAGGCAGCGTAGCGGCCAGTGAGAGTCTGGTCAGCCGGCTCGGTCCCACTCTCCATGGATAGCCCCCCAACCACCAGGTATCGGGGTGACACCACCACACACTTGAGCTGCTGGATGCCCGCGTTGGTGGTGGTGAGGAGGAGCGAGCACTCAGGGAGCAGCACCCTCTGCAGCAGGCTGTGCACCAGGGCGGGCGCGGGGCGCCGCTCCCCGCCGTCCACGCAGAGCCCTGCATGCTCCTCACACCAGCCCTCACCCAGCTCCTCCAGCCCGTCCATCACGAACAGCAGCCGCTGTGGCTGGGACAGGATCTTGGCCACAGGGACCTGGTAGTCTGGACAGGCCCGGGCTATCAGGTCCCCTAGGCTCTGCTCCCCCAGCCCCCGCAGCTCCCCAGCTGAGAGGAGGAAGACGTAGGAGAACAGGTTGTGGAAGAGCGTGCCCTGTGCCCAGCAGTCCAGGACCCTGCGGGACAGGTCCCACCTCACGGGGCCTGACGGGGCGTGCAGAACCACCGTGCCAGGCCGGAAGCCCTGCAAGTCGGGGTCGAAGGCTCCAGCCAGCGCCTGCATGTCCAGGCCTCCCATGGGGTCAGCTTCAGCACGTCCGGCCAGCTCCTGGGAGAATCTGGTCAGCACATGGTCTTTGTAGCCTGAGTTCCCATCTCCATGGCATGAGGTCAGATGGAAGAGAGCAGAAGGAAAGCAGGAACTGAGTTTGAGGAAAGTCTTGGGTTTAAGCTAATGCCCCTAGGGCACTGATTATATATTATAACCATAAAACATGTACTATATAATTATATATAACTTAGAATGATCATATAAATAACATAATTATATAGATATAATTATATGTATCATTTCTATTGTATGATATATAATTAAGTATGTGATTATAATTGAACACCTAACTACAGATTCTGAGCAGCACTGTACACACCAACCCCAGCAGGAAACACCCAGACCCAGCAACTGACGAGTGGACAGAAAAGGCACTGTGACAGTGTGATGGAATACTATGCAGTGAAGATAAATGAAGTGCCGACCCACACTGCCGTGCAGACCAACTCTGACAGCGAACCGTTTAGTCACTACCAGCCACACCATGGTCCTTGACGCCTGGTATAGAAGAGGCTCAGAGGGGTCAGTGCACAGGTGTGGGCTGTGGGGCTTGGTGAGGCCTGGCGTGCACCACTCGTGGGTCTTGGGGACAGGAAAGGTTCTGGGGACTCGGGGTGAAGGTTGGCTAAGTGTGACCATCACACAAGCATGGAACTGGGCTCTTTGGAAGCATGAGCTTTATCAAAAGGGACAGAACAGGAGAAAACCCACGCAGCCATGGGACTCCCACAGTGAAACCCAGAATATTGTTTATGTATGGCTATTACAGATCAAATGTTAGCCAGGCCCCAGTGGCTCATGCCCATCATCCTAGCTACTCAGCAGCCTGAGATCCGAGGATTGTGGTTCAAAGCCAGCTCAGGCAGGAAAATCCATGAAACTCTTATCTCCAATGAACCACTAGAAAACTGGAAGTGGCACAGTGGCTCAGAGTGGTAGAGTGCTAGCCCGGAGCACAAAAGCTCAGGGACAGCACCCAGGTCCAGAGTTCAAGCCCCACAACTGACAAACATAAATAAATAAAAATTTCACAAAATGTAGCTGAGCTGAGCACTAGTGACTCACACCTGTCATCCTTGCTACTGAGGAGGCTGAGATCTGAGGATTGCTGTTCAAAGCCAGCCTGGGCAGGAAAGTCCATGAGACTCTTATCTCCAATAAACCACCAGAAAAGGAAGTGGTGCTGTGGCTCAAGTGGTAGAGTGCTTTCCATGAGCTGAAGAGCACAGGGACAGTGCCCAGGCCCTGAATTCAAGCCCCATGACAGACAAAAAATAATGTAGCTGAGTGCTGGTGGCTTGTGCCTATAATCCTAGCTTCTCAGGAGGCTGAGATCTGAGGATCTTGGTTTGAGGGCAGCCTGAGCAGGACCACAAAGTGCCAGAAGTGGTGCAGTGGCTCAAGTGGTAGAGCTCAGGAAAGGGCTCAGGCACAGCATCAGGGCCCCAAGTCCAAGCCCCAGGACGGACACACACAAAATGAATGAATCAAAATGGCCAAGTGCAAACTTCTGCAGAACATGTGTTCTCTGAAGGAACAAAGCCTCAAGCAGCTTTTCCCAAGATCTCCACGGTGGGCTCCCACAGTCCCTACCACCCAGTTCTGAAGGCTGAGACATAAGCGCCATTTCTTCAGTTTAGTTCACGTAGAGCCCCGGACTAGAAAACAGAGCCCAGAGGCATGTTGCCCTTGCCACACATCCCACTGGGTTTTACTCAGAAAAGAACGTAAGTCTCTCGGCTCAGGCACAAAACCCCAAGACGTTCCATCTCTCATTCACCAGCCAGAAGCTGCCCTGGAGGCATGGCTCAAGTGTTCCAAGCAACAGCCAGGAGGGAGGAAAAGAAAAATCTCCAAGGAATTTTCCTTTTTTTGGCCATGGGTGGTACTTGAACTGTGGGCCTGGGTGCTGTCCCTGCACTCTTCAGCTCAAGGCGAGCGCTCTACTGCTTGAGCCACAGTGCCACTTCTGGTTTTCTAGTGGTTTATTGGAGATAAGAGTCTCACAGGGGCTGGGAAGGTGGCTCAGTGGTAGAGTATTTGCCTTGCATGCATGAGGCCCTGGGTTTGATTCTTCAGCACCACATAAGCAAAAAGAAAAAAGCCTGAAGTGGCGCTGTGGCTCAAGTGGTAGAGTGTTACCCTTGAGCTGAAGAGCTGAGGGACAGAGTCCAGGCCCTGAGTTCAGGGCCCACGACCAGACCCCCCCCCCCCCACCCCACACACACACAAAAAGTCTCACGGACTTTCCTGCCCAGACTGGCTTTGAACCGTGACCCTCAGATCTCAGCCTCCTGAGTAGCTAGGATGACAGGCATGAGCCACCAGCACCCAGCTCTTCAAGGAATTTTGAACGAAGCACTGGATTACCCTGGGAGAGATGTTCTGAGGTCAGCTGAGCTGGTGCTGGGCCCCAGACATCCTGGAGGCTCTGGCTTCTGACTGGAGAGACCCCGGGACTCGCAGCCCCATGCTCCATGCCGAGTGACCAATCTCTCAGGGATTGGGGCCGGCAGACCCCCCCACATACCACTTGAACCCCACACTCTTCCCAGCCCCAAGTTGGCAGCATGGGGGTCCTTAGCCCTCACCTTGCTCTTCATGTCCTGACGGGGTGTCCTCAGCGCCAGAAGTGTCTGTGGAGGGGAGAAGAGGAAAGTCCAATGTTCAGGACTCAAGTCAGATATGCCAGCTGCCTCGGGATCTCCCTCGCACACGGAGATCAGTGCCTCGCCCCGGTGTCCAGGAACAAGGTGCTGAGTTGACTCATTTACCAGCAGCCCCAAATGCAAGGGAAAGAAAGCAGACTCTAGGTAGCCTCGAGGTACCCAGAGCTGCCAGCCTGGGAGATTCCACACTGTCTCTGGGGACCAACCCAACCATCATGCATTCCATTGAGGGACATCCCCGCCAGAGTCTCTGCTCGCCTCTCTTCCTCCCTTCCACCAGAACCTGAGAGTTTCATCCTAAAATTCAACCACAAATGCCAGACACAGAAACCTAGCACATGGGTCTGAGCGCCACACCTCCTGGTTTCCCAGCTTACCGTACACAAACTGGGCTGGGCCTGCACACCCCTGCAGCCCAGCTCTGCTGGAAGGGAAGTGAGAGCACAGAGGGCCAGGCTGAATAACAAAAAGTGAGACCCTAGCCGGGTGCCAGTGGCTCACGCCTTGTCATCCCAGCTACTGAGGAGGCTGAGATCTGAGGATCACAGTTCAAGGCCAGATCAGGCAGGAAAGGCTATGAGATTCTGTTTTTTTTGGGGGGGGGTCCGGTCGTGGGCCTGAACTCTGGGCCTGGGCGCTGTCCCTCAGCTCTTCAGCTCAAGGCTAGCGCTCTACCACTTGAGCTACAATGCCACTTCTGGCTTTTTTTTCTGTTTATGTGGTGCTGAGGAATCAAACCCAAGGCCTCATGCATGCAAGGCAAGCGCTCTACCACTGAGCCACCTTCCCAGGCCCAGGCTATGAGATTCTTATCTCCAGTGAACCACCAGAAAACTAGAGCTGTGGCTCAAAGTGGTAGAGTGCTCGCCTTGAACAAAAAAGCTCAGGGACAGCGCCCAGGCCTTGAGTTCAAGCCCCAGGTCCAACAAAAAAAAAAAAAAAAAAAAAGGAAAAAGAAAGGAAGAAAAAAAAAAGTCAAGATGCCAGTCTCCATATGGAGCTACTGGCCAGGCATCTGAACACATTTATCTTTAACCCCCTCCCTCCCAGCACACACCTGATGTCTCTTTCTCCTCTGGTCCTTGCTCAGTATTTACTTTTCTGGAATCTTCTACTTGAAGCAGTGAATATCCTGCAGCCGAGAGAACAAAGCGAGAGCCATCACCAAGAGGTGGAGAGTCATACTGGGGAGATGGAGTGTGGCATGGAAGGGCATCCCCTTCCCGTGGGACCCCAGGCTGCCGCCCCCCAGCCCCCCCACCCCCTCCCCGCCACTGGACACACCCTGCGCCTCGCGTCTCATCTCCTGCTGCACCATGAGAGCCAGCGCCGGCAGCCCCATGTCCTCCAGGACGCAGCCAGTGATGCCCCAGACCACAGACGCCACGCAGGATTCATGCAAGAGGAGGACCAGCTGGGAGCGGCTGGCCCGCTCCAGCTCCCCCGGCGGCAGTGCACAGTGGGTCAGCTCCTGGTACCTCTCCCCCAGCATCGCCTTGAACGCCTGGAACTCCTCCTTGTCCAACTCCCACAGCAGCCGGTACAGCTGGAAGCCAGAGAGCACGGGCAGCCTGCCAGCCTCCATGCCCATGCCGTGCCCAAGGGGGCCCTGTGGGAAGCACAGGACTCAGCGGGGCGCCCAGAAAGCAAGCAAGGTGCTCTCGGTCATGGAGGTCAGGCCCGAAGACCCAACCGGAACACCGTTTTCCAATCAGCACCCGACACAGAACACGACCCAGTACCCTGGTGTCAGAGTGTGCCAGGCACAGCCTAGCCAGTTTCCCGATCAGCCCAGTCCACATTCCCAGAGGTTCCTGGGTTTGAACCCACCATCCCGCCATGCCTCTCTTCCGCTGTGGCCTGGCTTGTTTTGAGATTAGGTCTGGCTTTCCGCCTGGGCTCTGGACTGGACTGACCTCAGCAGGTGACCATGCGCACCGTCATGCCCGGCTCCTTCCCCAAGATGAGGTCTTGTGGACCTTTGGGGTGGGCAGAGCATGAGGTGCCGGCAGGAGGCACTGCCACCGTGGGAGGGGCACCCCTGGAATGAACACATCCATCATCTGAAGGCACCAAGCTGGTGACAAGGCTGACACGAAGCCTACCCCAAGAGGAATAACCATAGAACATATGTGAAGAACTAAAATTTAAGGCTAAAAATGTGTGCAATAGGCCAGGCGCTAGTGGCTCACACCTGTCATCCTAGCTACTCAGGAGGCTGAGATCTGAGGATCATGGTTCAAAGCCAGCTGGGGCAGAAAAGTCCAGGAGACTCTCATCTCC